CCCTACATTGGGCCAGCATGCAGTTTAACTACTAAATCGAGTTAGGAAAATCAGATTCTACTGAGCATTGGGTAACTGGATGACCAGGAAAGAGGACACTTGATGTGTCTCTAAACACTAGAATTTTTAGTTTGTATTAAGTTCCTGAAGAGTGTGCTTTCATTAATCTGAAAATAAAAAATCTTTGATTTTAATCACTACAAATCTACATTAACACAAGGGAAAGGGCTCATTAAATGGTTTTGAGGGCTTTTCACTTTAAGTGCCAGGTGTCATCTTTCTTCCTGTTGCTACCCTTTGATGATGAAGCTGTATTTCTGTGGCAAACTTACATTAATTCAAATGGGATAAAATTTTGAAATAATTTCAGTTTAGTTTTAGATCAGGACGACAGCAACAACTTTCCTACACGTAGCACGGGCACCACCTTGCTGCTAATGTTGGCTGCTTGAGCTGGGTGAAGACATTGACATTTAGCTACTTTCTGCCCCCTATGCAGGTGTCGGGAACTTTTATGACGTGTTTTGACACCTGTATATCTGTGCTTCTCTATCTCTGGTGGCTCATCCTCTAGCGAAAGCTTCCTTCTGTTCCTTAACACAGTCTGGCTGAAGCCTTCTCCTCATCAGCTCCTTCTGTCCAGAACAATATTTCCCTGTCTCAGCTATGCCATCTTTTTTAAAATTTGCAGCAAAAACCTTTTTTGCCTGTAGCTCTTAATTTCAATCTGGTTTTACTAATCATTTCCACTCTCTACACTTTACTTATATTTAGACTTTTGATTATTAATACAAATAACAATTCAACATGAAAAAAAATTAGAGAAACAATCCAACATTTACAGCCACTCATACACTATACTTAATATCTTGCAGAATCTGATGACCATCTCACATGGAATGCAGCTGTAATGTACCACTTCAGTGCTTTCTGGATCACATGTGTACTCTTGTGAGGAATCTCTGATCATACGTAAGGCATCTCGATTTATTCACAGGTAGTAAAAGTCATGGATAGGTCACAGGCAATAAACAAAAATTCACAGCTTGTGATCTGTCCATGACTTATGCTAAAAATACCTGTGATTAAATCTTGGGAGGAGGTAAGGGGGCCACTGCTGGGGAGGGTGGCATCTGCGGCCAGTGGCACCAGCTCTTAGGGGCCGCGGATTGCGGCTGCTCTGGCTGGCCAGGGACTGCTGCCTGGGGCCGCAGACTGCAGCTCCTCCGGCTGCCCGGAGACCGCTGCTGGGACCCCTAGAGCAGCGGCTGGTTTGGCTGTCCCGGGAGTCACCTGAGCAGCTGGCCCCAGAACCAGCTGATTGGGTGGTCCCGGGGGTCAGCCACACTGGCCCCTGCGGAGGTTGCGGAAAGTCACGGAATCCGTGACTTCCACGATCTCCGTGACAGACACGGAGCCCATATCATACGGAAGCACTTAGGGCAAAGGCAGTTAATACATCACACACCCCTAACTAAAATCATCTTGAGGATCAGAGAATAATTTGTAGATATCTGTGCTGATAAGGGGTTCAGATCGGGCATCAGAGTAACTTTTAAACTAATGCTGTACATCAGACCAATTAACAGAGAAACTCTTAAACAGACAAATGACCTGAAAGGTCTGATCCATAACAGACAGCCCAGGGAAGCAGCTTCCATCTTTAAGGCAATATGAAGCCATTAGCTTCAATCCCCAGAAGGTGATAAGAAAAGCCATTAGTGGAGAGAGAGAACCTCTTCCCTGTACATCAGCATGTTCTGTTCTTGTCCTTTGGACAGAGAATGTTAGCAGTGCTAAATATAATACTTAACTACATATAATATTTTGGATCCAGTTTGTATGGAAGACACTATCTGAAACAGACATGGTAAAGTCTTTTTTTAAACTGTATTATTAAGCGTTTTAGTATAGTAAACAGATAAACACTTAATATCGTGTACATATAATATGTATAATAAACAATTTAACATCTGTTAGATATTCTATAATTGCTGGAAATTGCTTTTCCTCTGAGCATTGAGGGTTTATAAATATTGAACCTGATCCTGTGAGTGTTCTGTGTGATAATCCCAGGGATTTCTACTGGACTCCTGCACACAGAGCACTTACAGAATCGGGTCACAATATTCTATTTTCCCTATGGAAATAAGGAAACTTGCTACTTTCTTGACAGCAGATGTATTCCAATAAAGTCTGTTTGGCTGCTACTATTTGATATGGTGCTCAATAGTGGATGTGCCCTGGTAAAAACAGTGATGTATGTAGCCACTTACTCACAAGGGCTGTTTTTTCTTTAATGTAAAATATCCTGTAAATTAAAGATTTTAAAGATTCCAAAATTGGGACTGTTGCTTATTTAACCTACGAAAATATATTCGTGTTTTTTCAGATTAATTTTTAATCAAACTTTTATTTTGTTTTGGCTGCTTGTAGCCTCAGCCATTGTCAGAATTCTGTGAATTATTGTTTAGTGGCACACACATCTTAATTGTTTCTTTTGCCAGGGAGAACTGGTGACTGCATCGAAGGCAATCATTGAGAAGGAATATCAGCCACGAGTTATAGTGAGCACAGCAGGACCAAACCCCTTCAATAAACTCACTGATCGAGAACTGGAAGAGTATCGCAAAGAAGTGGAAAGGAAGCAGAAAGGTTCTGAAGGTTGGTTTGGTTTTAATCTGTAACCATGTACATTGCTGTCATACACATCAAGGCTGTGGCCTAGCTGATATGAGCATAGGACTGGGAACCAGGATCTTCTGCATTCTTAATCCTAGCTCTGATAACGATTCCTTCTGTGGGCGAGGGCCAGTTCCTTAACTGTTTCAATTTTTACAACTGTAAATTGGGGACAATATTTGCAAAGCAATTTGGAGATAAAAACTGCCATTGAAATGCTAAGCAATATTAGGTCAAAGTCTTGGTTCTTAATCAAACAAAACTTCACTGGAGTCAAAAGGGAATTGTGATTAATTACCATCCACAGAATTTGGCCAATTTGTGTTGTCACTTAAAGTTTAATATGAAGGCTTGAGACTTCATTCAGATAGACCTTTTATTGAACGTGGTATACTATAGATTGTTCAGTATTGTTTCATTTTAATAGGATAGCCCAGTGAGTAAAAATCTGACATTGCTTTTAGGCAACAGGAGTGAAATTTTCTTACTCATTGTTGCACATTGTAGATCTGGGGTAAGTATTTTGAGCTGGGAAAATGCAGATAAAAAATTACCAGTTGGTGCTTTGAGAAGGAATCACAAGGTAAGAAGAGACATGATAAAGCACATCTCAGAATTCTACCCAGGAACCACTAACCTATCAGAAAATGTAGTGAGAGCATCACGCTGCAATAAAGGAGAATTCACCACAGCATTTGAAGAATCTCTTCTATGTGATTATCATATTAAGTTTTACAGTGTAGTGCCTGTGATGCATCCACTAAGCAGATGGTATTGTTTACACTGGAATATTGGTGGCACAGTTTCACCAGTCTTTACAAGAGTCTGGTCCAGTGGGTAGGGCACTGGACTGGGACTAAGGAGATCTGGTTCTATTCCTGGCTTAGACTCTGCTGCATGACCTTGGGCAAGTCATGTCCCCTTCCTGTGCCTCTGATTCCCCGCTAAACCTTTGACTGTCTTGTCTATTTAGATTATAAATCCTTTAGGGCATGTGTTTTCGCAGCACCTAGCATATTGGGACCCCAGTCTCAGTTAGGGCCTCTAGGCAGCATAGGCGCCGACTTCCCCTCTACTCGGGGGGTGCTCGACTCCCCTCAGGCCCCACCCCCACTCCACCCCTTCCGCCAAGCCCCCGCCTCTTTCCACCCCCACCCCTGAGCGCGCCTCATCCCCGCTCCTCCCTCTTCCTCCCGGATTTCGGGTGCACGTTGTGAAACAGCTGTTCACGGCGGGCAGAAGGCGCTGGGAGGGAAGGGGAGGAGTGATCAGCGGGGCCGCTGGTGGGGGAGAGGCACTAGGGGGAAGATGGGGGAGCTTGGCTGCTGGCGGATGCTGAGCACCTGCTAATTTTTCTCCGTGGGTGCTCCAGCACTTGAGCACCCACGGATCGGCGCCTATGCTAGGCATTATTGTAATATAAATAATAACTTACAGGGCAATGTACTAATTGCATTTCCTCTAAAAACTGTATGGTGATTCGTCCCTTATTAGTGTGTGTTGCTCTTGCTGTACCTTCTAATATCTTGACATATAGCGAGTCTCAAATTCTGCCTTTTTCATGTGTAACTTTCTCTGTACAAGGATTAAAGCATTTTGTGGGACTGACATGTTACGTTACTGTGTCTATGTAATTGCATACCCCTTTATTTTCTCTGTAACATTGCTACATCCTACATAGATAAGCTATCAAAATATGGAGAGACTGTGGTATTGAGACAGAAACCAGCTGGGAAGCCAAATGTTTTACTTAAAAGTCAGAGCTACAGGGAGCAAAATTCTTCTGGAAAAAAACCTCTGGAGTTGCAAAGCAGGTCAAAAACCTTTCAAGGAGCAGTGAAAGAAGCAGATCTGATGATTTTGCAGATTCATGAAGGATCAACGCTATCTAAGTCTTTAGATAATTCTGAGTTCTCTGCTGCACAAGTTTCTTGTCAGACCATGCAGCAAATCATCACAAATCTTAATCAGGAGGAGCCAGATGAGCAGAAGTCTCCACACAAGGAATTTCACACAGCAGTCATCAAAGCATTAAGCTCCAATCCTGACCTTTTGGCTGAGGCCTCAGGTACTAATGAATATGGTACCACTGAGTTTTCAATCAAGGGGAAGCCATCTCTTGCTTAATCTGCACTTACAGAGTCTCTGCTATCTCTGGACATCTTTCGTTGGCTTGGCTTATTACCTGTGGGGCTGATTTAATTTAATTGGTGGATTTTTCTCTTGTCTGGGTGAACTGTGTAGAACAGTGCTCTGGTACTGAGGAAATCTCTGTTCTAAATATTAAGGTGGCTTTTTTGTTTTACATTAACATCTGCTCCTTTAGTATGCAACTATTGTTGAAGCTGGAAGGGAGTGTGTGTGGGGGGATCCTATTTAATTTGAAAAAAAAAATCTAAAACCACTGCAGAATCTATTTGGAATAATTGCCGTTTATTGCATGTTACATTGTGATTATCTGTGCACCTTTTCATTCTTTGCTTTAAGTAACGTACATTTTGTTTACTCCAAGGTTCTGCAAATAAACTCAAAGCAAGCAAAAGAACTTTGTGTAATTTTAGTTTTGATGCCCTTCTTCCATATGGTTATTTTTTTCCTTTGGCTCTTCCCCATCAAATTCCCCTCCCTTTAGATCAGTGTTTTCCAGTGTTTGGCTCCAAACTAGTGTGTAAACTATTGTATAATCATTTCAGTCCATTTTACTGAGAAATATTTTGAGTTGAAATAGTTGGATAACATAACTTCTGTGACAGGTAAGATCACAACAGTGTTGGTCTGCACCTTACCTTTGCTTGCTTTGGAATTATTTGGTATTCAGACAGAATTTTCATTCAGAAAAAAAATTTATTCAAAGATTTTTGTGTGTGTAGCGGGATGTCTGTTTTCCTGCATCCCTAAAGAAGAATCTTGTGTGCTGTTTTTAATTCCCATACTGATTCATCTGTAGAACCTTCAGAAGATGCCAGACAACAGAAAGAAAAGAGTGCTCCTGATCATACTTCAGCACGTACTCCTCCCAGCACACCAGTTAAGCTTGAAGAAGGTATGTTACATTGAGCTGGGGTGGGGAAGACTCCTGTAGCTGCACCTGTCTTGACTGAAGCATGAAAAAATAAGATTTAACGAAGTAAAGAGGAATTATTTTTATTTTTTTACAATCTGTAGAGCTGTGTAACTGAATGTAATAGTGGTTATGTTCACAATAATAAAGAAATGTGCATTGTCATTAGACAGATTATCCCCATTTCAAAATTGCCTCGTCATCTTGTTGAGTTTCTGAATTGAATCGCCCCTGTGAGCACGCTGAGCAAGATGTGGCTGCTGGTTTTGCAGTGAAATGTTGTTTCTAATGCTGAGCAGACCTTCCCGGAACTGAACATGGATAGATAGTTTGTCAAATCCTGCTCACTGGTTGCACATTTCTTAAACATTATTGTATTTGGATTACACCTCTGGGAATATTTTTCTCTCCCAGTTTAGATCTTCGTTTGATTTGTTAACGTGATGATCTAAAATTATCAGAAAAATGAAAAAAGGGCCAAGAAAATCTGCTATCCCTTTGGAAAAAAAGGATAAAAGTAACAGTCTATCTGTTAAATAGGTGTAATCTAATTTCTGTTTTGTGTTTCCTTTACCTTGTTCATTGGGATATATCACTTGTCTGTTATGAAGTCTTCCACGCACTACTTCATCTCATTCTGTTTTCTATAAGAATGGCTCCAACCATTCTTTTAATTTAACACAATGGCTGTGATGAATGCATAGATTCTCTACTTGTGCTTTTTTCTTCTTGTGGCTGCGTTACAAACAGGAGATGGATATGCTAAAGAGTACCTGTTACCATAGTAAGTATCATCCCATACTCTGACCTGTTTCTGCTGCTTTCCTGGAGTTCTCTGGGCTTTGCTTCATTCTCTTGCATCTTTGTTGTTTACTGAGTTTTGTTTTCTGTTTGTGTTTTGGTTTTGTTTTTTAAAGGCATTTTTACAGTCAGTGACACACTAATTCCTTCCATTGTTGCTTTCTTGGAATTCTAGGTCAGTTACATAAACCTTACATTAAAGTGCGCTATACTGTTGAAAGGGACTGTGAAAGTGTCATCATGGGTTCCATGTTCGTCTGTCTTTCAGTGACTCTGTAACCAGCTGCCTCAATTTATGAGTAATAAGCTGTTTGTCCAAAAGCCCGTGGTTCGTATTCCTCCTAGAACATGAAAATTGAACTGTGTTCTGCGTGGCTCTGATACCACCAAGTTTCTAAGATTGGAACTTAGTCTGAAATTGTGTTGCATGAGCTAGCTATGAATGAGCTCACTCTTTAAGCTGTGATGGCTTTACAGGGCTAACAAAAGTAAACTTCATGTATATGTGTATTTCCCTAACCTAAGTAGCTGTGACTGAATGCGATGAGAGCTATGACTGACAGAGATCCATTGAGTGAAGGTGCCATTCTTCTTCGAGTGCTTGCTCATGTCCATTCCATATTAGGTGTGTGTGCTCGCCACATGCACCGGTGCCGGAAGTTTTTCCCTCAGCAGTATCTGTACGGGACCAGCTCTGGCACCCCCTGGAGTGGGGCCTGCATGGTGCGGTATCAGTTCCTTCTTGCCGCCAGCGATGGTGCTGGAACATCTGCTGCTTCGGATAGGTTTTCTTTTCTTGTGAACTTCGAAAAACCTGTAATGTAGTTGTATATAGTTAGTAGTTTCTTAGTTACCCTTAGTAGTAGTTCTTAACTTTTAATTAGTCCCAAACGGGACACAGCCGGGGGACAGGGCATGCCCTGGTCCCCAGGCTATAAGCCCTGCGATGGCTGCAAATGGCCTGTGGCCGTCAGCAATCCACAACCAGCTGCCTAAGGTGCTTAAGCAAAGGGCACATAAGTGATAAGTGCCATATCTGCAAGTCCTTTAAACCTAGGATGAAGGAGCACGATATCTGTCTGAAAGTGCTCCTAATGGAGTCAGCACTCACTCTGGCACTGGAGCAGCAGTCTGACTGCGCACCGAGCACCGCAGCCTCCATGCACAGTACTCCGCCGACGCCATCCACGAGCCGGCACCGGTCTCCCTCCACGGCTCTGGTCATGAAGCCGAAAAAGACTGGGAGGGAAATAAGGGAAAGGAGAGGGCTGGGGGCAAGCCACGACCCGTGCCAGGCAGCTCAACACCCCGTTTAGGAAGTCTGGCCCCAGCTCAAGTCGAGCGGTGCAGCCCATCCCATGCTTTGCCTGCGACCCTGGATAGCAGTGCAGGCCCTAGCCAGCTTCAGGTGCCATCAGCGCACGAAGCTCTTCGAGCAACTCAGGAGATCCTGACACTCCTGTTGCCATCTATACCGTCTCGAGGAAAACCCGCATTGGGACCTATCCGTGTGTCCCCGCCTCAGCAGCATCATTCCCCATCGAGAGGGACGTCCCACCAGCTTCGCCCACCCACAGCCGTCACGTCTCAGGACAAGAGAGGCAGGCTCAGCAGAGCACTCTTCGGTCCCCGCACCGGGAGCACTGATTGAGGGACTCGAGACGTACCTCGCCAGTAGATTGGCGCAGACCCTCTGAGGCACGCGCCACCCGGCAAGAACTCCGGAACCAGCCCCTACCATCTCCAAGGGCCCGAGACCGATCAGAGACCGCCAATCGCTGGGCCATCATCTCCCGTCTCCATGAAAGAGGTCGCCCTACTCAGGACGATCCTCCCAGCAACCGGCCCGTAGTAGCTCCCGGTCCCATTCAACGTACCAGTACCAGTCGAGTAGCATGAGGCGTGGATTGCATGGTATCCAATGCCAATCCACCAAACGCCATCAGTCCCCAAGAGCCTGACCAACGCATTCTCGCTCGGACAGGTTGGCTTTGGGATGCAGCGACTGGCACCAGTTGGACAAGAGCCACCGCTCAGCCCGATCCTGGTTGCCCCATACTGACCGCTTTGCTGGTAGCGCTGGCTTGGAGCGAGGTTCCCTGCCGGCGGAACAAGCTCCCGTACCGGTGGTGCTGTTTACATTATCAGCACTGAAACCTGTCCCATGGCCCCAAGTGCAGTGGCCAGCGCCATGATATCTGTGGAACCCTTGGGGGTTCACCCAACCTTCCCAGGCTGCCTGATCGGTGTTGGGAGCCTCAGAGAGGCCAGCAGCCTCGATATCCCATCCCCCTCTGGTGCTTGAGACTTGTGGGGGTAAGACCCCACAGGTCCAGGAGGACTCAGGGGAGCAAGCTCCTGGACCACCAATGGACATGGAGGTTCCCATGGCAACGGCATCATTGTCGCCGGACCCCCTCACCCAGTTCCTTAGGATGACGCCAAGGCGCACCAGGAACTTTTGAAGAGGATCACTTCTAACCTGGGGCTTCAGGCATAAGAATTGGAAGAGTCCTCGGACTCTCTGTTTGACGTCCTCTGCTCCTCCGCTCCTGCCAGGGTGGCTCTACCCCTTCATGAAGGGGTTTCTAAAATCACGAATGACCTGTGGAAGACCCCCTCTTTCCTGGCCCCTATCTCTAAAAGGGTCGAACGCAAGTACTTTGTGCCGAGTACAAAGCGCACAAGTATTTATACTCCCACGCAGCCCCTAATTCCCTTGTGGTTGAGGCAGTTAACCACAAGAAAAGGCAAGGACTTCTGCTGAGGGTGGCCAACCACCAAGCCTTCCTTGGCTGATATGTGGCAAGCCATGGCCAAGTTCGAAGGCTCGCTCCCCAAGGCTTCCAAGAAGGAGTTCTGAGCTATCCTTGATAAGGGCATGACTGTGGCCAGGGTGAACCTCCAGGCGACGTCAGATGCTGCTGCCCACACCATGACTTCCGCTATCTCCAGTCGGCAAGTCTCTTGGCTGCTCCTCTGAGTTATCCACCGAGGCCCAGCAGTCATTGCAGGACCTGCCCTTTGATGGCGGGGTCCTATTTGCAGCAAAGAGACAGCAAGTTGCATGGCCACAAAGACTCGTGCACCATCACCCTGAAAATCCTGGGTCTCTACGTCCCAGCCACGGCGCATAAGCAGTTCAAACTGCAGCAGCCTCAGGGCCAGGGGAGCCAGCCTCGGCAGGATCAGCCCCATAAACTAGCCAAGGGTTACAATCGCTGCCTGAGCCGCCTGCCTCCACCCTCAGCCCAGTCGGGCTTGACCCATAATAAGCAGGGGAACAAATGGTCACTTTGAGGGTGCGCCTAAGGGCGATCTACCAGACTATTGCCCGGATCCCTCTTTCCCAGTATTCTCTGACTGCCTTTCCCCTTTCCTCCTGGCGTGAACCGCTATAACTTCCAACCGCTGTGTCCTCAGCACAGTGGAACAGGGTTATCCCCTCCAGTTCCTTTCTACCCCCCCTTCCCACCCGCCTTCCCTGTCCCTCTTCAGGGACTCCTCACGCAGGAGGTAAAGGGGTTACTACCGCTGGGTGCGGTGGAAGAGGTTCCTCTCGAGTACAGGAACAAGGGGTTCTGTTCCTGATACTTTTTAATCCCAAAGGCCACGGGCAGTCTACGGCCTATCCTGGACCTGTGAGACCTCAACAAGTATCTACAGAAGCTAAAGTTCCGCATGGTCTCTCTGGCTTCTACTATCCCCTCCTTGGATCCGGGAGACTGGTATGCTGCCCTCGACTTGAAGGACACATACTTCCACATCGTGATCTTTCGAGGGCACAGACACTTCCTCCGGTTTACAGTGGGGCTCCACCACTACCAGTTTACAGTCCTCCCATTCGGCCTGGCGACAACACCGAGGGTGTTTACCAAGTGCATGTCAGTGGTAGCGGCTTACCTCAGGCACCGGGGTATCCAGATCTACCCATACCTTGATGACTGGCTCGTCAAGGGTGGCTACAGGTCTCAAGTCCAAAGGGATGTTGCGGTGCTTCAAGCCACGTGCCGCTCTCTGGGCCTACTGGTGAACGATAAAAAGTCAGCATTAGTGCCAGTGCAGAGGATAGAGTTCATCAGAGCGTTCCTGCCGCTGGAAAGGTTCAGCACGATGGCGAACCTCATCGCAGAAGTCTCCGTGTTCCCTCTCACTACAGCCAGCCTTTGCCTGTGCCCGCTGGGCCACATGGCAGCATGCACTTACATGGTCCGCCATGCCAGGCTCCGGATGCGGCCCCTGCAACAATGGCTCAGGAGGGTCTATTCCCAGTCCAGAGACCCCCTGAAGAAGATCGTTACGATTCCCCAGGCAATACTTACCTCGCTGAGATGGATCAACTGCAGGACAGTCCTGGAAAAGGTTCTGTTCGACAACCCTCCTCGCTCAAGTTGGTGTCTGACACCTCAGACCTTGGCTGGGGGGACACATCTCGGCAATCTCCAGACACAGGGGATGTGGTCCCCAGATGAGGCGCGGTTACACATAAACATCAAAGAGCTCCAAGCAGCCCAGCTGTGTGCGGAGTCTTCTTGCCCCACCTGACAAACAACACAGCCTCAATGTTCTACACCAACAGGCAAGGGGGAGCCTGCTCGTCAGCTCTCTGTCAAGTCTGTGGGACTTCTGCATCAGCCACAAAATCCACCTGGAAGCTTGTCACCTTCCCGGCGTCAGGAATACGCTGGCAGACCAGCTCAGCAGGAACGTCTCCTCTCGCCATGAGTGGTCGCTCCATACAGAGGTAGCCTGCATGATCTTCCAAAGGTGGGGAACTCCCCAAGTGGGAGATAGAACAGGAAATGCAGGGCCACTCATCAGCAGGACCCTGGCAAAGATCAAGAGAGACCAGGCGCAGGTTATCATGATCACACCAGCGTGGCCTCGCCAGCACTGGTTCGGCATGCTCATGAGCCTGTCAGCGGCCTCTCCCTGGCCCGTGCCCAACCGACTGGACCTGCTGTTGCAGGACCACAGTCGGCTCTTACACCTCAGCCTCGGGTCTCTCTCTCAGCATGGATTCTCTGTGGCCGAACCTGGAGGAGCGGACCTGTTCGGAAGGAGTCCAACAGGTCCTCCTGGAAAGTAGGAAGCCCTCAACTAGACTGACATGCCTGGCCAAGTGGACGAGGTTTTCCCACTGGGCGTCCGAATGGGGCATCTCTCCCTCGCATTCCTCCATACAGACTGTCCTGGACTACTTCCTCCATTTGAGGAATCAGAGCCTGGCACACTCTTCCATTAGAGTGCATCTTGCGGCCATCTCTGCTTTTCACCCGCTGATCCAAGGACAGACAGTGTTCTCCCATGACATGATGGTCAGATTCTTGAGAGGGCTGGAGAGCAGTGGGATGTTAACTTGGTCCTCTCTAGGCTCACTGGCCTGCCCTTTGAACCGCTAATCTCCTGCTCCCTTTCCCATCTGTCATAGAAGGTTGCATTCCTGGTGGCGGTGACGTCGGCAAGACGGGTCTCAGAAATTAAAGCTTTGACCTCAGAACCACCGTACGTGGTCTTCTACAAAGATAAGGTTCAATTGCGGCCCCACCCAGCCTTCCTGCCAAAGGTGGTCTCCACCTTCCATATGAACCCCTTATGTGGGAGGGATAGCTCAGTGGTTTGAGCATTGGCCTGCTAAACCCGGGGTTGTGAGTTCAATCCTTGAGGGGGCCACTTAGGGATCTGGGGCAAAATCAGTACTTGGTCCTGCTAGTGAAGGCAGGGGGCTGGACTTGATGACCTTTCAAGGTCCCTTCCAGTTCTAGGAGATAGGATATCTCCATTAATTTATTATTTATAACCAGGACATCTTCCTCCCAGTGTTTTGTCCCAAACTGCACAAGACCAGTGAAGAGAGGCATGTTCACATCCTGGACATCCAGAGGGCCTTGGCTTTTTACTTAGAACGTACCAAGCCTTTCCGTAAATCCACTCAACTCTTCATTGCTACAGCAGATAGGATGAAGGGTCATCTGGTGTCCTCGCAGAGGATTTCCAGTTGGATCACCTCATGCATAAGGGCCTGTTACGACCTGGCAGGGGTTCTGCTGCCGCTGCCAATTGTCCGAGCCCACTCAGTGAGAGCTCAGGCGTATTCGGCGGCCTTCCTGGCACACATTCATATCCAGGACAGAGACGACGCTGGATTCGGCAGAGCTGTGTTGCAATCTACATGTCCGTGAACTCCTACCCAGCTCCAGGGATACTGCTTTGGAGTCACCGAATATGGAATGGACATGAGCAAGCACTCGAAGAAGACGACAGTTACCTTTTCCGTAACTGGGGTTCTTCGAGATGTGTTGCTCATGTCCATTCCATGACCCACCCTCCTTCCCCACTGTCGGAGTTTCTGGCAAGAAGGAACCAAGGGTGGGGGGGAGCCGGCGGCGCCCCTTATACCCCGCCATGCTGGTGCAACTCCAGGGGGCACCAGAGCCGGTCCCCTACTTATATAGCTGAGGGAAAAACTTCCGGCACTGGTGCATATGGCGAGCACACACACGTAATATGGAATGGAAATGAGCAACACATCTCAAAGAACACCAGTTATAGAAAAGGTAACTGTCTTTTTTATGTAGTCAGTTTTCTGACTACAACCGTACTTAAAGAATATAATTTTGAAAAGTGTATTTCCATGGTGATAAAACCCTTGCATCTGTGTTTGTATAAAAACAAAACAAAACACTTTACCTCCATTCAGGCCAAAGCTGCAGACAGAAGTTTTAATGGTATTACTGCATCAGTGTGCACTTAATATGTGTTTGTGCTATTAGTTCGAGAATAGATCTTTACATTTCTAAGTATTGTCATGTTGTTGTCTCTGAAATTGTTTTTGTTAGAAGATGTAATTTGGAAAACCTCACTGATGGATGTACTAAAATCACTGAGCGAAATAACAAATCTCGTACACGTGTTGTGGTGTTCTCCTTTATCTGATGTAGAATTTGAGGATTTCTCTGTTCTGATTAAAAACTTGCCCATCCCTAAGCTAAATTCAGAGATCCGTGTTTCAGTCCAGTGTACAGTGATTCCATCTTACTAAATGATGCAGTGACAATTTCAGAGGCGGGGTGGGATAACTGTCTTGGACAGACGAGTTAAAATTATTTTTGTATAGCTGTAATGCTTTGTAGAGTGGCAAAGGCTGTTTAAATGCCAGTAGCTCCCTATGCTTTTATTTCAGGAATAATCCAAACTATTGCTGGTCCTTAGACTTTTTTTTTTTTATATAAATAAAAGTAACTACATGAAAGTCGGGTGCGGTACATGTACTAAGAAATTAGTCTGATTAATGCCTTCCACTTGAATTCCTGAAGAAATAAAAATCATGACTAGAAAGGTGCTGATGATTAAAAGAGCAATGCTGGTGATAGACTGTAAATGAATTGCTGTATAATAGTCATAAAGGGTTAATCAGACTAACGCCTCATGAGGCAGCTCATAACATACATAATGGCTTTCTCCTTTAACCTGCTTTAAATCCTGTCTGCATCATAACACAATTTCAGACTTCTAACTTTACCATTCTGAGCATTTGGCTTGATACTGAGTATTAAGTGGTTATTGTGGGTCTAACATAACAGAAGTTCCCACTATTCTAGGCAAATACATATCACACATTCACAGAACAGTGTCTTCTAAGACACAGCATGAGGAGTTTTCAGTACAATCCTGCAGGAATAAAGGACACAATTTCATAAGAGACACTCTCATACTTTCTGTAGACTGTTGTAATCACCTCTCAAAACCTTGAACATAAAACTAACGCTCTGACCCAAATTGTTCTCGTGACTGCAGCAGATCTTTAATTTTTTAAAATGAGAATTGTTGTCCTCATTTTTCTCGCAGCTCGCAAACCTCTATGGCCTGGCTTTCATCCACTTTCCTCTTTATGCTCTACTGTCATGGATGGAGTTGACACAGCTAGCTGGCCACTTATTAATTGGTGCATTCCATGCAGGCAGGAAACAGGTGCCGTGAGTTCTAAGGCAGTGCTCAGTGCAGACAGGATTGCTTTACAATAACATGGTATATTTAAAAGGCGAGTGTTACTAAATCTCACCGATGACGGTGAGGTCCACTGTAGATTAGTGAGTAGTGTGTACAGGGCCATAGCAAGGCCTATATACCACTTTAGCCCCATTTAAGCTATGGCTCATGCTTTGCAAAGGGATGAAGTCACGCTAAGTGAACCCATGTTATCTGAAAGGCTGCATCACAAAACATGCTTAGCTAATTCAATTTGACAGGCTATATTGGTTTTATTTCTAAGACCTCATAATGCACTAATAATTCAAGATAATGAAACCATTACAATAGCAGACCTCACTATGAAGCTGTCTCTTGTTAAATCTTCTCTGAGAAGCTCCATGGAAATACTGGGATTATTATAAAGCCTGGCAAAATGAGAATTAGTGAGATTCTCATACATCAAGCCATTGGTCTGATGTTTGTGTAATTTGCTCCATCCCAACGAATTAAAACATTTTAAAAATTGGGAGCCTAATGACAATATCTCATTAATGCCCATGAAAATTGTAGGTTTGATTCCCTGTTCACTGTGCTAAAAATCCTCAGCATCGTTTTCAAATGTAGTTACATTACTATGTTTTATTTATAAAGCCTTGATATTTACTCTCTTGGCACTTTAGACCATTATGGTTGGATTCAACTTTATCTGCTGCCTGGCAGGAAGTTGAAAATAACCTTTTGAACATTCCACCTACATCTCTGTGCCCAAAGGTAAAGCAGAATAGACAGATTCCAAAAGCATTATGTAAGTTAAATGAGCTAGATTTTCACACAGAGCACTCACTATACAGTAACTTCACCTTAATGTATTTTAGAGACCAGCACACTTTAACTAAATATTTCATATCAATCCGTCCATTAGAGACACTGCAGGACCAGACTTACAAAGATGACAGTGATGCTGCAACTTTCAAGCAAACCCTCCCAGACCTCACCCCTGATGAGCCTTCAGAAGCACTCGGCTTCCCAACCTTCGGAAAGGAGGAGGAGGAAGGTAGGTGCAGCGAAGATCTGACCAAAAGTCAGACTGAGTCACCTGCAACAGAAAATCAAGAGCCCCAGTCCCAACCTGCTGAAGAGGCAACAACACCAACAGCTGAGGAGGGGACAGCAGCTGATCCAGGTAGTGATGAATCTCCAGGAAAATCCCCATCCAAAAAGAAAAAGAAGTTCCGCACTCCTTCCTTCCTGAAGAAGAACAAAAAGAAGAGTGACTCCTGAAGGCCTGATGCGCTGCAGAAACACTGTCGTATTTTAAAATCTAAATTCATTAACCACTAGAATGTACCAGATTGTACTGAGTGTTTTGTCGTCTTATGTAAAGGAATGCAACAAATAAACCAACCAGCCCCTCGAGTTATAGCTTGATTGTTTAAGGTTATAACAGGAAATTAACGTGCAGAAAGGTGCTAAACCTCTGTTCTCAGCAGCAAACCACAGATTTGATCCTTAATTTGTAAACAAAATTAAATGGCTTCCATGTGGAAGACATTGAACCACTGTTTTTAATTTAAAGCCCACACTGCTTTATGTATGAACACAAGTATTTTTGACCAGGCCACGTTCACAGTGCAGTATCTGCTCACTCCAGAACGTGCTCTTTTCCAATGTTGTACTCACCAGTCACAAGTGGATTCTTTTTTAAATATTGCATTTTAGAGAGGATGCTTGTTTGTTTGCATTTTAGAGGGGGCACATTCTTGAACTGAGCTGTATGCTTCTGCAATCTGTGATTACAGATCATGTTATATAGTAAGGCTTTGAGACTATCCTCACCTTACCCCTTCTGTCTTCTCCCTGCCACCCCCACTCCCCAATAACAACAACAATAAAAGCTGCCTTTAACCCATATTCTGTTTTGTGATATAGCTGGAACTTAAACTTAACCTTGTGATGTCTAAGAGGACTGAACTGGTGATGGTGTTTCCTGCTGATACTGTGCATTCAACTTTTCTAATAAATGCAATATTGTGAAATCTATCTTACGGCCCTCTTCCCCAACCAAAATCAGAGACCATCAGAAATCACTTGCATAGCAGTTTGGTCTTTAGATACAGGTTGAAAACAATTGTATGTTAGACTTTTGGGACACTTTTAATTGGTGATCTAGGGCATGGACAGTTTTGGATTGGGTCTTCGGTGCATATTTCATTGTTTTGATAAAACTTCCCTGGGTGCAGATGCAAATCTGTTACATATAAGCCACATTTGCAGGCTGGTATCTTCACTCCCTCCCCTAATAAAAATGTAAACACATTACACTGAACACTTAACATATGTTTTTATATTAACTCTTTTTCTTTTCACTTACTGTAGCTTGTATTTCTTGCTTTGTGTTGCCAGCAGTAGTTAAGTCGGGAACAGAAATCCCTCCCAGAGTCCTTAGAGGTGCATTTACTACAGGTTTTCCATAAGCATTTAGCATGTAGCAAAGTCAGGAAAATCACTTTCACCTTTTATTTGCCATCCTCTTCTAGTTACGATCATGATTCTCTCTCTTCACTGAGCACACACAGAGATCCACCTTCAAATGATCTTTTTGAAAGCCAAAACATCTTCATTTGTTACCATCGTGAACTTTCCAGAAACCTTAATGAATTCACCCCAGCTATAAACCGAGATGTTCCAAATGTCAGTGTTCAAATGACACATTTCTATTTGTAACAGCAGAAAACATTCAAAGATTTCTCCTTGGGGAAAAAAAGTTGGCTTACATGCAATGACTATAACTAAAATGAAATTCAGTAATGGATGTATCCTATAAGAGTATATAAAATACCTGTTTTATAGTGAGAAAAATAGCAGACAGTGAATCCCTTGCAATTTGTGCAGTATGAAAGCATTGAATAGAACAGGTTCAGCTATAGTGCAAAAATAAAGCCTATATTAGGCCCTCAGATGCATTGAAAACTTGGACCAAATTCAAGTGGTAAAAGGAAAACAAAATTACAAGATATGACAATAGCACTGTCAGGTGAGGAGGAAAAGGTTTAGTGTCAGTAATTAACACACCACAAATCTGACTTCTCTTTTGGAATACATAGAGGTAGGGTGGAATTAGATGCAACAGCAAATCACTGCTTAAGAGTGACACCTAAACAATAATGTCTAGTAAGGACTGCATGGCGCTAATGGCTTTGAGCTTGTATTCTAACCTTCTATGTCCTCTGTATACTAGGGAGCATACAGTACTTATCTTACTTTGCTAAATTGTGTTTTATTGCCAGGGTCATAATTACGTTACTAAGCCATTGCTACATGTTTCAGTTAATAATGGAGTCCTCCCTTTTATCTTTGACCACATATGCAATGATTTTGATTCTAATTTTGTAGTTTGTTCTTTCAATTCTTTGTATTACACTATGAAATCCAGCTGTGTACAGTATGGTTACACACGGTGGGGGGAAAAAACAGTCATGTATTTTTCTTTCTTTGTTGTATCAAGTTTTACTCAAATAAAATTCTTCTTTAAAAGAGTAAGGTTTTTTCCTCTGTTTTGAAAGCTGTTGTACAGTTTTAATTTCCAGAATCTCTTAGGGAATAATGCCCAAACCATTTTAATTTAATGGGTAAAAAAATGTCTTGAGAAAAGTACCTAGGATTTTGTTTATAGTAAACTGGTTGCTGTTAAAGTTCCAGACCCGACTGTGATGTCTAATGTTCTGGCCAGAGACCCTGAATGGGGCAGGTAATAGTAAGCAGCAGAGACAGGCATTAAAAGGGAACAGTGTCTGAACTTTAATTGAGGGAACATGTAGACAGAATACAAAAAGCCGCTTTCGTGTTGCAGTAAGTGTCCTTCTGGAGGATTTGCTGTAGCTGAGAGAGCAACAGGAGGATCACTAGTCACTTCCAGGTTAACATAATTCTGCCTTCTCTAACAACCTACTATATTAACCTTGTTCATTAACCTGTTGTCCTTAAAGCTAGGGTGGAATATGTGCTCAGGTGAAAAAGCTAAGAATTCTAATTTGCAGTCTAATTCATGAAGCAGGGGATCACTGCTTGGTTCATTCTTTATATTAAGTTCATGCTCAGACTATATGCAGTAGTTTAGGGGTTTGAAATCTCTGAACAAATGCCACTTAGTTTGCTGAAATACCATGGGGAGCGCACAGCGGCTTTTCACTCTTGTAAATTTACATTTTCTACTTTCTGAGTAGATTCACAAGCAACATAATATCATGTCCTTTAGAATTTGTTTTTTTCCCCCAAGGCAGGGGGAAAACGCTCTGCCTTTATCAATCATTCTTGAGGCTTTACCTGGAATACTATTTTAGTGAAAGTCACTAATTTTGTTTTTAACCAAGGCTCTAGGAATACAAAATACAATTTTGGGACAAATGAGAAGCTGCAGAAACTTTTTTTCTGTGGCTTTTTTTTTTTAAGGAATAAAACCTGCATAATAGGAAATGATAAAGCTCAAATTGAGACCTTTAATAAAAGTGAGTCTTAAAACACACATGAACTTTGGTTTCCTATATTACATAAGGGTGTAAAACCTACCAAAAGATTCATTTTGGTACCCAACGTTCTGTTCCTTGAGCAGGTGCAATGTGTGTTTGAGGCCTTTATTATATTGATTTGGGTTCACATATTATTCATTTACAGGTTCAAGTTTTATGTCTGCAATAGCACCACCTCAGTCTATGATCTTGTCAGAAGTCAAGCTAAGCACCGTCAGGCCTTGGATGGGAGACAGTTGAGGAAAACTCAGGTTGTAGTGTAGGTGGCACTCTTTCCTCTGAAACTGTATTGAACCAGTGCCCCGCTATGGGTCAGTGTGTTTCTGAAGATACTCTTATTGAAGAAAGACTGGCCTTCACTAGTTATGGTAGTCAAAATTTCCATAACACGGAGTAGGGATGTTAGTTCTGCTATGTTACCCAATCTACATGTTCCCTTGCTTCCACTGGCCAAGCTAGTCTTCACATTCCCCTACTAAAAATGGTTGTGTAGTGCTAAGGAAGTAGACTAGCTGGCAGTCTTCTCCCTGGTGTCTGTAGTCCAGGGATCTTTCTATGTGCAGTCTGAAGTGATTCAGTTTCCTTCAGAATGAAAGATACATGTTATGTTAATTACCAGATCAACTGTCTAACAATGTTTTTCACTAATTTATGTGTTAAAGCCAAGCTGACTGCACAGTGATGTGCAAGAGGGAGTGGAAACTACTCCACTGATACAGAATTAGGTCTTTACTTTCCCACTCCCATGCTTAAAGCAATCCCACTCTTCCCATGAGTTGGGTGAGGCGAAACAAGAGCCTAATAAACCCAACTCTGTAAGGTACAAATGAGTACACCACCTCCACCCAGGCACTTCCCTGTCTCCCAGGGTTTTCTACTTTGATATCCTTTAGGAGTGAGCTTCTCTACTGTCACTCCCTAGCAGTGTTTAAAAAAAAAATTCTCTGCAGTGCAAGACTAGCAGGAGATGACAAAGTCCTATTAGTGGATGGCTCTGATTGCACTGATTGAGAGATGGCACATGGAGAAACCAAGAAGGGAGCAGACAAACTTTCTGAACCTCTAGTTACTTTCCAAATGGATGGGGTTGGTCTATACTACAAAGTTTTTCCTTGTTTGAACAATCAGGTTAACGAACATGCTGCTCACCATAACACGGAAGCCCATGTAGACAAGGGCAAATTATGGTCGGCAGTGTGCCAGTTAATTGGGTTCTTTACAATAGCGGTCAAAGAGTATAATTTTGCAGTAGAAAGAAGCCCTAATTAAACCTTTTGGGGTCACCTAAGCAACAGACTATGACCTGTGAGTTAAGAAGACACTGATTGAAACAAAAAGGTCTCACTTCTCCTTTATTAAAGGCCTTGGCATATTGCATGCCAACGAGAAGTTGAATACAGGAAGACCCTGCTTCTTCTTCCCCCCTCCCCCCCACATTCCTAAGCAGAAGTGCAGTCAGAGCTTTAGGTAGGCCAATGACTGACTAACAAAAGGACAATCTGAAAATATGCATGTTATTACAGGGCATCTTACTAACCACACTAACTGCAGTAGACCAGTTTGCAATTAACTCTTTGTAGTGCAAAATACAAATATTTGATAAATGCTCAGTACTGAAAAACCTGTTACACAAAATATTAGGAGTATAAAATGTAGCTAAAACACTTTCCCAATTATATTGTATATCACAGGCCACTTGTTCATTTATGATCCCTTGGCAGAACAGTAGGAATAGAGTCAAGATTGATAGAAGGCTCTCTCACAGGTCATACGAAACTCAGGATACCAACCCCCCCAAAAAACAACCAAAAAAAAACCACACCAGCTTAAGGCACTAGATACAAATTTAACCAAAGAGACCTGCCACTAACTGAAAGGGGATGTGCAAATGGTTTGGCAAAATAATCTCAATATGACCCTCACACAATAGGGGAGTGGTTGTATTTTCTCACCATGAACCAATTCAGGTGGCTGGGTCTTGATCAATTTCCCCATTATGTAGCTGCCTGAAAACTCTGCTAATCCATGTTCTGTGTGAGCACCAGAATGAGCAGCCAGTGATTGAAATGAAATGGGCACAGGAAGGATATGTAAAAACCATTATATTGTGCACATGATTCTGTGAGAAATTATGGCATTTTACATGGTGCCTCTGGTTGGGAACTGTAGTTAATTTAAGCATGAAATTCTGTTGTGGAGTGAGTCTCAGCTTGTTGAATTCAACCTTTTTCTGCCCATGTAGCTGGCATGATCTCACCATTTTATGTAGCAGGAATACAACTTGCTGAACGACACGCATTTGAGTCAGATACTTCTGATCTCAAAGCTAGTCAAACTGGGTTTCCATCTCCTTGAGGATTAGGGTGTGTAAGAAAAATCAATTTTGTCACAATGGTGTATATGCTGGTGAGTGGAATTTGAGTTGGCCTTCCAGTAAATCAGAACACAGTGTTCCATTTTAAGTCGCTTCTTGACATCTGACTCTCCACCACTTTAGAAGTCCCTTGGAAAATGAGTAGTTCTGTAAAAGTCATAATGTTGCTCCTCTCTTTGGTTATTCCTCCTTTGTTTGCTGCTTTATGTAACCAAGAAGAATGAGGGGAAGCAGGAACAAAACTGCACAAACAGTGAAGCAAACCTCAGCTCCTGCCAGCCAATAAACTGCAAAAGAAATAAGATATTTAGTGCTTGGGGGGCTATCTTCATTGTACACATTACAAAGATTTTTCAAAGTGACTTCCTGTGCAGCGTTCGTACAAATTTGAGTAGTTGCATGTTATAGGTAATTAGAGGTGTAACTATTTGGATTTGCACCTATGATTCCTGGCCCATGAACAAAGAGTGGTTGTAAACAGCATCTGGCTAACACACTGGCTGAAAGTAGTCCCCGTATTATTAAATTAGTCTGTGGAACTCATTGCCATGGAATGCTGTGATGGCCAAAAGTATAACTGGGTTCAAAACAGAGTTGGATACGTTCAGCAATGCACAAAATGGTCAGAGATGCAACCCCAAACCTCTGACTGGCAGAAACCTGGAAGGGAAGACAGAGATGGATCATTTCAACTGCCCTGTTCTGTACACACTGTACTGGCCACTGTCGGACGATTGGGCTAGATGGTCTGGCCCTCGGTGGCTGTTCTTATGTAACTACATTACACTAGCTAGACAATGATTTTCAAATGGTAAATTTTAAAATTAGGTAGATTCTTTTCACTTTCTACAGCCACAGACAATTGTTCTGCTGTTACTCTACCCACCCTCCCTTACTTTGCCTTGTTTAGATTTCACTGGAAGCCAATTAGTTAACTCAGTTCCAAACTGTTTAATTCCACAGTCAGAGCTGCCGCCACTCCTGCTGTACTTAGCAGGACTTGGGGCTGGCAGACAGCCAGCAGCAACACATCAGGAAGAGCGTGAGGGGGGTGCGGAATGACGACGGCAGGAGCAGGGGGCCCATGTGAGAGAAGCAGAATCCACACATGCAAGCTGCTGCTGTCAGCTTCTTCCTAAATAGCATCTGCTCCTAAACTCGTTTCTTCCCTTCACTATACGGGGTCCATATTTGTACCTGCATCCGAATCCCATCCTCCACCACTTGTTCCTGCTATCCCCTTCTCACCACAGCAACTCAATTGCCTCCACTTCAAGCCTTTACAATGCTACCTAAGTTTTAAGATGAGATCAAGTACGTATTAAATCTTCTACCTTCCTGGTATCAAATGGTAAATATGGATCTTGCCAGCACTGACTGATTTCCCCCTCCCTACTCTCCCAAGGAAAAACCTGAACATGGCGGGGGGTGGGTGGGTGAACACTGCCCAATTAGTAGCATAGCACAGCTATCCTTGCCCCAGTCACATCTCTGCCCTTTGGGCTTTGACAGATATGACAATGTTTCTCAGTGGAAGAAAATGGAAGTACGTAGTTGAGACACTTAAGAAATTTGGAACCGTACCATTCAAATCATTAGCCTGTCTGCTATTTGCTAAGTGCTGCTGTCAACTGAGGTGCTCTACACAGGATGCTTTCTTAGTCAAGCACAAGCCTAATTACTTATAGTAATCAATATCTGTGGCCTCACTGCTTTTCCATATCTTATTCTTTCAGCCCTCAAGAGGTCATCTAGTCCAGGCCCTGGCACTCCTGGAAGGACTAAGTATTAAATGTCACAAGGCCTAAAGTTGAGGCAGGTAGAAAGTCACATGGCATTCCACAAAGCTGTGCTAGGCCCTTTGGCTCCCTATACAATGACTGGGAATAGACAGGCATTACCGGGGGGGGGGGGAGGGGGTTGTGAAGAGACCTCATAACTTTTAGCCCAGTGCTTAGGATGTGCGCTCCCTGATTCTCGCTCCCCGAAGCAGTTCCATTGGGTACATATAATTAAAGAGGCCGGAGCCTGGGTGGACTCTGAGGCTACAAATCATTCTTATGCTTGCGTGCTCATACGCTCGCGCTCTCTTGCATGCTCAATGAATATAATTATTTATCCACAGTGCAACGGCTTCAACAGGCGAGGGTGAGGGAGACCTGTATCAGACAATCCCATAGCCCAGTGGTTAGAGCACTCACCTGAGAGGTGGCAGAGCCCTGTTCAAATCAGGTAAAAGGGGGAATTGAACTAGTAGGGGGTCTCCAACATCCCAGATGAGCTAAATGTTATGAGGACAGCCTGCCTACTCCCCGCCTTCCCTGGCTGATTCACGCGACGGCGCCTGCTCTGAGAACACCTACCCGATTTGACCTTGTCAGTGTGTTAGGAAGAGGAACATGTAGCCAATGCCTGACTGGCTCTGGGGCTTAGGCAGGTGCTAGGCCAGGGATGGGCAAACTACCGCCCGCAGGCCAGATCTGGCCTGCCAGCTGGTTTAATCCAGCCCTCGAGCTTCCATTGGAGAGCAGGGTCTGGGATTTGCCCAGCTCCGGAACTCCAGCTGGGGAGCAGGGGCGGGGGCCACTCCACGCAGGTCCCGGAAACAGCGGCATGGCCCCCATCCGGGTCCTACGCGTAGGGGCAGCCAGGGGACTGCACGCCGCCCCCGCTGCTTGCATTGGCCAGAAACCGCAGACAATGGGAGCTGGAGGGGCTGTGTCTGCGGACGGGGCAGGCCTCCACGTAGGAGCCAGAGAAGGTGAGCCGCTGCTTCGGTGAGCCACTTGAGGTAAGTTCTGCCCAGAGCCTGCACCCCTGAGCCTCTCTCCCACACACCAGCCCTGATCCCCCTCCCGCCCTCTGAACCCCTTGATCCCAGCCTGAAGCACCCGCCTGCACTCCAAACCCCTCATCCCCAGGCCCACCTTAGAGTCTGCACCCCAGCCAGAGCCCTCCCCACTCCCCCCCCCAGCCTGGAGCCCCTCTGCTGCACCCTGAACTCCTCATTTCTGCCCTACCCCAGAGCCCACACCCCCAACCAGGGCTCTCACCCCCTCCTGCACCCCAACCCCAATTTTTTGAGCATTCATGGCCCGCCATATAATTTCTATTCCCAGATGTGGCCCCAGTCTATGCCTAGAAGGAAGCAGTGATTGTGCAGGCCCAGCAGCAAAAACATAAGCACCAAGGGAACTTTTTACTGCACAAACTTAGGTGCCTATAAGGTGCAGCAGCAGTTTTGTGAATCACAGTGGAGCCTAAAACTGGGACTTACACTTAGGTGCCCATGTCCGTTTCTGACTCCAGGGCTTAGTCCCTGGTTTACTTTGCTAGATCCACTACAGCGCAGGGTTCAGTTCTGAAACATACTAATGGGCTTCAGGACATACTTTACATAAAAAAAACTTTTCTGTGCATTTAAACACTGGCTGGGCGGAATCTGTCAGAGCCAGGCTTAGACCCAAGGCGCCTCTGCCTCCTACTCTGGGCCTGTTAGACCTCCCTGGACATTGACACTGCAGCTGTAAGCAACGAAACAAAAAAATCCACAGCAGTGAGACTCAAACCACAGCTCAACTGACTCTGGCTCATGCGGCTTGCTCGATGGGGCTAGGAGTAGCAGTGTTGACAGTCTTGCTCGGGCAGGACCCAGGCTCTGCGACTAAGGTTACCATATGTCTGGGTTTCTTTTGGGGAACCTGAAATATGGGAACCCTATGACCCTCTCCCCCATTGGGTTTCAGAACCCAGGCTCCACCTCAAGTGTCTGCACTGCATAGCCCGACCTTTGGTCAGCTGAGCTTAGGGTTGCTAAGACATCTGGTTTTTCAACCGGAATGCCCGGTCGAAAAGGGATCCTGGCAGCTCGGGTCAGCAGTGCCGTTAAAAGTCTGTCTTGAGTACCTTGATCCATGTGTGAGCGCTTCCTGTTGATGTCAATGGGAGACCCCCATGAGTGTATAACTTATCCCTTAACTTGCAACAGTTAGGAATGTTCCGCAAAGACATGCAATTTACTACTCAATCATGTCTACGTTCCCATTGCCACGTCCCACCTGTTTCTCCCTATGGCCCCTTCCCTGGCACTTTCTAATGGTTGCCAGGCTGAAGGAGCCAGAGAATGACATTTTATATTGCCGGGGTGGTGCAGGATCGTGCACCGCTTACCTGCTGCTGACAAGATTGGTCCCAGAGCTCGTGCTAGGGACCCCAGGCTCCTCAGAATTCCCATTACTGTTCCCTTCTGGCTGGCTGAGCCTGTGCAAGGAAAAGTGCCACACCAATTAGTTAGTTCTTTGAACAAGACCTTTTTTTTCCCCCTTGCACTTGAATCCTGGTTTCTGTGCATGTCAGATTTGCTGTTTTATACCACTCACAGCTCACTCACTCCCCATCCACTAAGCACTCTGCTTCCTTAGTAGTTTTTCCTCTCCACTGAGGAGGTGACAGTGGTTGCTGAACATGACTTCTTCGTTGGGAAAATATAATTAATAGCTCTTGCTGTGAGTGCTTTCACATGCTGCAGCTCAATGCCAAAACAGCATTACATTGCACAGAGAACCTCACAGAAGCTAATACTGCTCTTCACTGAATTGCAAGAGGGCTTCACGGTCTCCTTGTTAGAGAATGAATTTTTACATCATCTTTCTTTTTACCAGATTTAGGTAGAGAAACTATAGCTTTTAAAAAGAAAGGTTAATGATACACAGATATGAGTGGTTTCAGAGTAGCAGCCATGTTAGTCTGTATCCGCAAAAAGAACAGGAGTACTTGTGGCACCTTAGAGACTAACACATTTATTAGAGCATAAGCTTTCGTGGACTACAGCCCACTTCATCCGGATATGCATCCGAAGAAGTGGGCTGTAGTCCACGAAAGCTTATGCTCTAATAAATTTGTTAGTCTCTAAGGTGCCACAAGTACTCCTGTTCTTTTTACAGATATGAGTATAAACACAGATATGAGCATCACGTCATTATAATAAGAAACAGCATTTTCTGTCTTATTATTATCCCTAAGCAACCATTACTAATACTGGAGGCTGTAATGGAACGAAGGGGTCAGTCTTCAGTGCATGATACAGCAGCTATGGTTTCTTTGTGTATTTTGTGCAAGGGTATTATGTAACAACCAGTGCTTTGGACCCATGTTTTTCCTTGCTGATCAAACCAGTGCGAAAGAACTGGTTCCACTGCCAGCAGAGATGGTCAGTGTTTCTCTTCAGAGAGATCAGCAACCTGCCCTCCTTAAGGAGGCTTTTGTGCAGCCTTAGTTCAAGAAACCAACAATCAATTGTCCTCTTCCTCATCTTCTATTTTGGGTTAGGATTAGAGAGAAGGTGTTGGTAAGTGAACTCTGCGGGAACCTAGATGCCTCAGGTTTCTTTAACCCTATCAATTTGGGTACAAGCCTGGGTACGCAGAAGAGACTGCAATAGTGATGTTGGTAGATGATCTCCTTGCAATGGATGAAGATGCCAGGAGTGTTAGATCTGACACCACTGCTCACGACTTGCTCTCAGGTGACTTTGTTCCTTCCTTGCTGACTGTTTCCAGAGTTCCCAGTGTTGGGCATTTTCTCTTTCTGCTTGAGGGTTCTGCCATGTGGAGTTCCATAGTGTTCCATCTAGTATCCTCTCTATGCAATGAGTACGAGGGGCCTGCAGGGTGGTACAGGCAGAGGTATTTCCAGCATGCCATTTGATAGCTAGGTTTGTATCTCTATCTCACCTGACCAAACCAGGGCTGTCAAACACCTGCACCAGTGTCTGAGAGGGAACAGGGCATGGATGAGAGCTAGCTAGCTGATGTTCAAGCCTGATAAGACCAAGGCAATGCTGGCAGGTTGAAGGAAGCAACCAGAAGATATGGAGTCCGTCTTACTTGATTGTCCCACCTGTTACTGCATTTGAGGGTACCCGGATTGTTGAATCCCCAGCTGCAGTTAAATGGTCACAGAGCATCAGTGTCTAGAAAGGCTTTCACTCCCGCCCTCCCCCTCAGGAGTTTGTAACCTTGCTACTGCTATTCATGCCTTTGTCACTTCAAGTAGAGAGAGCAGTATGGCTTGTGGGGATGGATTAGCTAATGCCTTTACTTTTAATTGATAGTATTTTTAGCTTTTGTCAAAAGCACTTAGAGCTGAGGACAGGCTTTTGGTACGTTATAAATCTAACTCGTGTAACCCCATGTCAGTTCTGAAAGTCCAGGTTCCAGCACTAAATGCATATTGCTGTAGCAGCAAATGGGTGTTAAGTGAAACTGGAGTTTGTATTTGCAGTTTCAGTTAAAATTAGCTTTGTACAGACAAGTGCTGCCCTTCAAACAAGTAAAGAGCCACTTACCATAGCCTGACACCACTGCTGACAAACAAGGAACAACAATGGCAGCGGCTGGAAAAGATGTAAGAGTAGTTAGAATAACACTAAAGAACAGAGAGCCCAAAGCAGCAAGGATAGCTATAGCCAGAAATGCAGCCACACTGGTTACTACTGCACAGAAAAATGTGGAGCCCTAGGGCACTATTCCAACAATGAATCATAAGGTTTCATTCAGTTTAATAACAAAAACACCCCCACAAAACCAACCTACACAAACAACTCTTGCAGCCATAAAGGCTCTGAGCATTCAGCAGCTGTTTTACATTACAGCCTTTCTTCTTGAAAGCCCTAGAGGGAAGGGGCATAAAGGTCACAGTTACAGTCTATTCAGCTAACTAGTAGTTTTCCAGATCTCTATCATCTTGTCAGATGTAGTGGGAGAGGGAATCTTTCATACATCACATGCTCAGTGAGCTGGCCATGTGTGGAATCATGAAGAGTCCTCTGAGACACATAAGTGTATAGTACTTGTGGATAAAGTAGATAAAAGCAACCATATTGTTCTACAATGCAGTATGCAGATGCCAAGTCTAGTGAGAAAATATGCTAGCTCACAGAGCCCAACTCAACACAACAGCCAAGATCTCACAATGAGAACTGCCCTCTTACTGAAACAGACCATGTTTCTCCCAACAAGGAAGAGCTGTGGCATACAAAATACTTCCCAGCAAGGAAAGGCCAATCAGATGGCAGGAGCTAGGCATCCTCCAGTGAGTCTGAATGATTTGTTCATTTTTCACATACACTTGTCCCTAGACAAGCAAGCTGTCAAACAGACTCTTCCTAAAACAGGAAACCTTTTGTTTTTAATTCAGGGATTTAAAATTTTGTACCCATTATCAAATGTATCTCTGCCACTCAAAAGAGAATATCCTGTTGTTGTAATAATGTTAACTCTTTTGGGAACATCTTATGGTGCCTGTCCAAGAAAAGATTTAAGGTGCTTAAGTCCCACTGAAGTCAAGCATGCGCTTACGTGCTTTTCCAAATAGGGATGGACCTAAGCTCATGCTTAATTGCTTTCCTGAATGGAGGCCTAAATCTGCAAAAAAAAATTTCCTTTTAAACATACATATGTCCGTGCACACACACTTCCGCACTTTTCTTCACAAATGACAGATTGAGTTGTCCCACCCTTCCCCGCCTGTGGTTAGCAAGGCAGGAGAGCAGAAAATGATACTGTTGACTAAGCCCTCCCTTGACTGTGTTGTAGCATAAAGCAGAGTGTTTATATACAGCACTTCTCATTCCTGCTCTGACAGTTATGCAGCTCTCCTCTGCCCAGCCTCCAAAGTGTAATGAATAAAGCAGCTGTCGCAGTTCTGAAAAGCAAAGCTGCCTGCCTTTGACTAAGCTGGGGTATTTTTATTTAATGTACAAGTTGTCTCTAGGTCTGGGAGAGAAAAAGAATCTGAAATGCTCCCCAGTCAGCTGAGACAAGATGAGTGCTGGTGACATTTACAAACATCACCATGACAACTTCTAGGGATACAATTAGCGTCAGAATAACCCTGCGATTCCTTCCAGGTTTTATAAGCAAGAAAGTCAACTTTTCCTACCTATTCCATGAAGCCTGAGGTACATCTTTATTAAACAGGGTGAGGAAATCTATGAAGTTGATTTGCCATGCTTCAATGCCTACTGGGAACTATTTGAATAGCTCACCGAAAGAATAGAGCAACAGTCCAGCACTCAGCACCGTCACATTACCAGCCCATCCAATTAACAAGAAAGCTGGAATCAGCAGCATTATAGCCTGAAAAAAAAAATGCAAAATGAGTGTGTCTTTATTACATCTAAAGCCATATTCATCATAAAAGCCTAATCCTAGGTTTCTTGGCACTGCGCTGCTGCTGAGAGGGGATATATTTAAGTTAAGGAGACAGTCCCCATGTTGCCAAGTTTCCCTTTCTAGATTGATCTGTTGCTTTTACTCATGGGAGATTTATTTCCTGCTAGGTGTTGGGGAAGTGGAGATTGCGTCACTGAGGATGCAGAGGTAGAGAATGCCCAGATAAGATTGGCAGAACTGGGACCAAAACTTGTGTAGAATAGAGCAATAGGAGCATTTTGTCCCCCTTCTCCTGGTAGTGCTGATGGATGCTAGGAGATGCTGCATCCACCCCTCATCAACAGGAGGGTTAGTCACCATGGTGCAGGGGAAGAAGAGTTCAAAGAACACCAACCACCCCAAGGTAAAAAGAAACAGGACAAGATTCTCCTCTTCCTGCTCTGCTCCCATGTTGTGCTCTCCCCCTTCCTATTTGAAAGCACAGTATCAGAGCCAGGTTCCACCATGTGATTCACAAAGGAGAGCTTTAATTTTCCCCCAACTCTCTCACATTTTTACAATTCAAGCCTAGCTGAATTGCTGTTTTCACTCTGCTAAAGAGGAACCGCACCCACAACACTGACCCAGATTCACGTCCGAGTTACTAGAGTTAACCATGACTGAAGGAAACTGACTACATTTCAAAATTGATAGCATCCCTTAAAATGATTTACCCAGTGCCAGAAAGGCAGTCAGAGATGGGATTACAATTCAGGAGTTCTTGCCTCCTAGTCCTGTGTTCCACCACTAAACCACACCAGAAATCACTGGAAAAATATACTCCTCACTTGAGCCTGTGTGTGAACTGGGCTAACTCTAGGAAGTGTCAGCAGCTAGGAAGAACTTAGATTACAGAAATTTTAAATAATACATTAGAGGGAAAGAAGCTACAGTATTGTGGGAGATGGTTTGTAAGTTTTAATGTTTTGTCTGCTTGAAAAATGTCACTACAGTGTTAATAGACAAAATATGCCCATTCAATTACAAGCGTTAGGAAATGACCTAAAGAAGTCGCTTAGATGTACTGTTGAAGTCAAAGCAAAACTCACTCCATCCCTCTGATTTTAATCCCCAGTACAGTTACATCCATAAGATGCCTTTGGGTTGCTTTATTAATTAAAAAGTAGCATTTCAGAGTCAAGAGGAAATGGAATAAATACAAATGAATATATGTTTAAAAGAGAAATATACCCTTTTTACGGCTTTGATTTCACATCCTGGTCTGATTCGGCGAGTGTAGCCTCCCTGGATCACAGCCATTGTCATCCCAATAAAGAAAAACATCTTGCCCTGCTGCATACTAGAAGGGGTTGGAGAGAGGGGGAAGCACAAATTATACATGGCTAACGCTCACACACAAAGTCTTCCCCTGGGATCTAGATTACTATTTCCTAAATGAAAGAGATGGATATTTTAGGTATCCACATGGCAATAAAGGGGTCTTAACATTCAGACAGAATTAGGCACCACCACCAATCAAAATAAAAAAATAAAGGTTGATTGGATTGCTCAGAGATATAGAGCTCTTCACTTTAGCCTGTTGCTATCTAAGGCATTCCTAGGGCAGCCCAAGCGTAGGCATTCCAGGACATTACTGACCAAAATAGCTTACTGTCTGATGACTTTCTGGTGACCTATGTGAAATGAGTTGTTGATTTCCAGTGAACAAAGTGTTTCACATCCTAGAAACCAACACTCACATCAGCAGTCTCAGCTGAGAGGGGAAGGAAACTGAACAATTAACCCTGGCAGTGGCCCCTTGAGGTGAGGGTAAAGGTACATTGTTCGGGAAGTTTGTACTGCCATTGCCCATGCTGTTCCTCCTCTGTAGAAAATACAGCATCTTTAATAAACCACTGACAAATTTTAAATTAAAAATATATAAATTTGGGCAAAACATAATTCCTGGGCTATTCCTCTCTCATCACTATTGGTTACCAAAGTATTTAGATTGTATCAACTCTTACCTATATAACTAGCCTGTCCTCCTGGCCAGTTCATTCAAGGATGTCTTAACACAGTCATGATCATGGTCATAAGAGTGACATATCCAAACAGCAGATAGTTGTTATATCACTGAATGAATTGCGCAGAAGCAGCAGGATTATCACAAAGGAAAAGGCTTCCAGTGACATACAAAGATCTTTGTAAATCATATTATGAGAAGGGAAAGACAGGAATAGAAAGAATATCCAGAAACAAAACCAACCAAGGATAAGGACTACTCACAGGAGTAAATGCTGCAAGATCTGGTCCCAAGTTGGGACTTCTCTACAAGCCAGCAATTAAACTGCTTTCAAGAAGAGAATAATAATATGAAAGAGTACAACAGGGTTTGATTAAAGGAATTCAGCAAACCAGAAGTTGCATTACATAAGGGTTTTCAGACTGTATATAATACAGAACTCTGCTGAGCAAATATAATCACATAGCTAAACCCTATATCCATTCTGCTTTATTTAAGCCTCAAGATACATGCTGACACAGAAAAGCTCTTTGGGTAGTTTTACATGAATCAATACTGCCAGGCCAGTTAAGCACAAATTCACTGTACATTTTCCATTTGTTTTGATTCCATCTCAGCACATCAATTTTTCTTTAAATTTTTAATTATAATATCAGAGTATTTGCTTTCCTGATTGATGTGTCTGTATTTCAACTATTCTTCCTGGCTTATAAAGAGAAAATTTGGAGCATTAAAAATCAATTTGTAACAGAATGCAGTTTTGTAGCATGTTAACGCTCATCATTAAAAGGCACCCTTGAAAATTAGGAGAAGCCTTGAGAGGGTCTCTTGGGAAAACAATGAACAAAGAAATGCTAGAGAGTACACAGCACATCTCTTCTAAGCACACTGTACCTGCTGAACTGGAATCGCTGATGGGTGAGAAAACTCAATGTGTATTCAAGACCAGAAAACAGGAAGAGATAAAGGAAATAAACTAGGCCCAGGACCTTGAGATTCTGAAGGTCTAAATCAAAAAAAGAGAGAGAAGGAGACGCTACACCATAAGTACCATTTAAAAAAAAGCAACATTCAGTACCACTTAAATAAAAAAGGGCCAGGACTTATTTCCGATGCTTATAATAGCCACATGCCACATGCCACACACCACAGATTAGATTCTGGCCCCATTTCTGTGACTAGAATATAAGGGCAAGTCTACACTACTGTGCTACATAGGTGCAGCAGTGTCTGGTGAAGACGCACTATGCCAACAAGACAGCGCTCCCCCATCGGCATAACTATTCCACCTCTGCGCGAGGTCACTGACATCACACTATGTGGACACCGCTTTAAATCAATGTACCTTACATTGCTCATGGGGGTGTTTTCACACCCCTGAGCAACGTATAAATTACATCAATTTAAGTGGTAGTGTAGACCAGCCCTCAGGGATTAAAGTGAAAAATAAGAGCAATAACTTCCAAGGAAGTGAACACTCAGTCATATCATTAAGGTTCTCTTCCTACTGGAAGGAAGCCAATGGGTAAAGACTTTCCCTCCACTACCCCCAACATTTAGCCCTCAATATTTTCTTTAATTTAATACCTTTGTTTTATAGGATGAATATGAATGCAAATGTTGTTGGTCTATCTCTTGGGCATTAGTGGAAGTGGTCAATTATAGAGTGTAGGTGGTTTGTAATTGGCCTTGAAAAAGGAAGTGTCCTATGCTTTACAGAAATAGATGGAGATGGTTTATATGATTATATGCTACACAGTTAAGAATAAGATGTGCTTCATGTGTCTAACACTATTCCTTTGCACCATTACATTAGTTGGAAGGACAGATTAACTCACTGGTATGACTGGTAAATTCCAAACACCTTTACTCAGAGAAAGGCCCAGCCAAAGCCCTGTGCCGGAACATCCCCAAACTTTGAGAGGGGAAGTTTGAAATCAAAATTCCATCTGAAGTTAGAGAAAAATGCCTCAGGACATAAGTGCTGACTTCTAGTTTTTTCCTAGGAGTACTCCAACCTGCCTCTGCCTCTTCCCCCCGAGGCACCGCCCTCACCCGTCTCTTCCTGCCCTTGCCACGCCCCCTCGCCGCCCCTGCTCTACCCCCTCCCTGAGGCCCCGGCCCACCAGTCTCCCCCAAGCCCCTCCCTGAGCTATTTGGCAGTGTGGCCGAAGAGCAGTGGCTGGTGGGTGCTGAGCACCCACTATTTTTTTCCATGGGTGCTCCAAGGCCAACCGAGTCTGCGCCTATGCCTCAGGATCTGGCATTCCTGGTTTCCAGCCTGGCACTGGAATCCAGGTTACCCAACTCATGGCTTGATCTGTCTCTTTAGGTCATTAAATTTGCTGTGATGTACCTACAGCTGCAGCTAATGCCCATATAGAACAGAGAAGGAACGATGGAAAGGAGAGTGGCTCCAGACCCCTGACATAAAACCTCAAAGTCATTCTTTGGAGATAAAGCCCTGGTCAACAAGCAATGCAGCTTGCAACTCCCATTTTGTAAATAGTTAATGTGGATCTGAAAGATTGAGGGTGGGAGTTGCTTCTAAAATGGTCAAAAGGGAGAAAAAGTGTATTTAGAAATCACCGCCACATCAAGGGAACACATATGGCATAATGTGAAAAAACAAGCAGCACTTACTCTCCCTCGAAGGTGAGTTCTTTCCTCTGGTGACTGCAGAGAACTGAAACAAAGCCAGCGGACTAAGCAAGTCACTCCCTGCCTGAAATCCACACATCATGGAGGATACCTAAGAAGAGAGAGACAACTGTGGCTAGCTTGAAGAACTGGAGCAGAATGAATTAGGTTTGCACAACCCACTGCCAACAATCCTAATGTAAATGTGCTTCAAAACTGGCCCTTGGTAGCCAAAAGGCGGAACATTTCTAACAAAAACCATAAAAACAAGAAATACCAAAACCTTTCACAGAAAGCAGAATGCAAGGTTTTACCTCTAGCCAGACTTGACACCATAGGCCACATGAGCAAATGTTCTCCATACACAGGTGCATACACAAACTCTGCAATCAGCTAATGGCATGTCTACCAGATACACACATACGAACAAGGGGTTTGTGTGCACAATTTTACCCCAAGCACCTATAGACTGATTTTGGCTATTGGTTAGCTTATTCCCATTTCACCCTGAAGCCAGGATAAGTGTCAGGGGCCAAATAAAAATAACTAGCAGATAACAGCATTTCTCCTCTTTTACTTTACCTGTTAGTTTTGTGATTAAGAATGGGCAGGACAAGTTTGCCTCTGTTCCATTCACCAATCTTCACTTTCCTGTTGTCCAGAGGGGCTCCACTGGCCTTGCATATTTATAAGGCATATATTATTATTTGTTTGCATTACACTAGCACCTAGAAGCCCCAAAGATCAGGTCCCGTAGGGCTATTGAAATACATGCAACATGTGCAATCGGATACATGATCTGTATCACACAAACAACCCAATGTGTAGCATATAAGTGACTGCTTTATTGTTTGCATTTGCAGACCTTTTAACCAGCCACTGACACCTACTGGGAAACCATGAGGAAAAAAAATCCTTTCTAGAAACATTGTGCTAATATGGTCTGCATTTTTTATGGTCTGTATTTTTTATCTGCTAATTTTTCACTGAGGAGAATCTCTGCTTTTTAAGACTTCATCTACCCTTGCTGCTTATGCCTCACCTTAGCCACAGCCTTCTGTGATCCCACAATAGATTGTTCTGTGGAGTCAATTACACCTCTACCCTGATATAATGCTGTCCTCGGGAGCCAAAAAATCTTACCGCGTTATAGGCGAAACCACGTTATATCGAACTTGCTTTGATCCGCCGGAGCGCACAGCCCTGTCCCCCCGGAGCACTGCTTTACCGCATTATATCTGAATTCGTGTTATATCGGGTAGCGTTATATTGGAGTAGAGATGCACTGTCTCACCATCAAAGGATTTGGATTTAAAAATCAAAGTGGGGAGAATTAGAGAAAACTATTAAATATATGAAATCACCATTGCTAAATGGAGTGGTTTCTTTAAGGCATTAAGGCGGGACTAAATCATAATTTCATGAGGCAGGCATGGGGAGCCACAAGGTGGATTGAAGAGCCCTGCGTAATAATACCGACGCGCTTTATATCTTCAAAGCCCTGTCCAGACCTGAGCTAATGAACTCTCATACCATCTCTGTCTACAAAGAGCATCCATAGCCCTAACAGACTGCCATAAACATGCAAAAGGAATAGTTTGAATTTTTAAAAGTACACAGGAAAAAAGTGTCAAAGTCCTTAGCTAGGATTTCAGACCACATGATGCATGAAAGAGCCATAAAAAGTCATAGTGGGGGAATAAAGGAACAGCCATTTCACACGACACACCCTGCTGGCATCATTTAGGGACGGTCTAAAGTTTTTGCCATGGTGGAATAGCACAGGCAAACTTTCCTGTGCTATTCTAAATGCCCAAATATAGAGACAGAGAGTTCATTCCACAAGTGCCTTGTAAATGGAGGGTATGTTTAAAGGGCTGGGTGCTGCTTAGAGCGAGGGACAAAGACAATGACACTGATTAAGCCCTGCTGCAAGCCTTAAAATCAATGGTGTTTTACCTACTTGCACCTAGGGCTGAATGCTACAAGTTTCTGTCTCCCGGGACTTACAGAGGAACCTGTTTCAGGGCTGTCCTCAGGCATATGCAGTATACAAGGCTGCATAGGGCACCCGAAAATTTGGGGCACCAGTGGGACCATAGGTGCTGACTTCTCATCTTGCCAGTTATAATAATCCTTTTCTGGGCCAAAGAATGAGGCAGGAATTACTAATTACTAATTCTGGGTAAAATTTTCAAAAGTACCTATGCCACAGAGTAAGGTATTGTTTTCTGAAAGCTTAAGACTCATTTTAGAAGTGATTTAGGCACTTGGGGGGGCAGATTTTCAGAAGGTATTTAGGTGCCTAAAGATACAGATAGACACATAGTGGGATTTTCAAAAACACCTAGATGCCTAACTCCCCTTTAGGCGCCTAAATACCTTTAACCAAAACCTGGGCCTTTACACTTCTAACTTGAATAAGACTTTACAGAACTCGGGCTCCTAAATCACTTCTGAAAATGGGATTTAGGTGCTTTTGAAAATTTGACCCATGTGTCTATCAGATGTTGGTGCAGCAATAGCTGAGAATTAATAATGCACTCAAAGTTGGAGTTCTTGTTCATCCGAGTGAGAGACAGAAATCTCCATCCTTCCCGCACCAAGTAGAGCATTCATGGTATTTTTAGTCTCATACAGTGCTTAGGCACTACAATGATGAGCACATTATAAATATTGACAGACAATTGGAAAAAGATACCCAGACTGTTATTGACAGATGTATTCTGATTAGTTTAAACTAGACAACCAATTTATGGCCTGCTTTGGCTAATTGGAGAAATCATGTCTTAAACAAATTTCACTGTATTTTCATGATTGAGTCAGAATATTGTCTGAAATTCTCAAATTAGATTGGGCCAGCTCAAGGTGACACAGTATTCTAGGGCTTGTCTATTGGCCCCATCAGTTTCTGAAGAATTTGAAGTTTAGCATACCCAACAGAAATTCAGTGGTAACTATCTAAGCATTTTTGATGCACTGCAGTACCTAGGACATGACTGCTAATCACAATTGCTACTTTCTGTCATCACCAATTTAGGTGGGTTTAACTTCTGGTCTAAGGACTGAACCAAATCCCTGAGCCATCAGGTTCTGGAGAGTTTCTTTCCCTCCCCATACATTTCTAATGTTTCAATAATTTTCAAGTCCTGCCCTTGCCTATAGGAAATATGGATTTTCAGAGCCACTCTCAGCATATTTTACCCGTTTTTCTTTGGGGAGTGTCTCCGGAAGCAGGAAGAAGATGAAAATTAAGTCAGCAACAGCAAACATGAGCGCAAGCAAAGCTGACCGAAGATAGAAGACTTCTCCTTTCCCTGTTTCCATGGCAAGGTAAGCTCCAATCATAGGACCCACGGTAAATCCAAGTGAGAAAGCAACACCAATCATTGCCTGTTGAGATATAGTAAACTTAAAGTTTTAGACATAGGTTTATTCATGACCAAGTAATTTTTTTTTTTTTTGGTAAAACTTGATAACTGTTAGGTCTGTCATACTCTGATAGAAGCTAAATTGTTGTGCCAAATGCTAACACAACATGAAGCATGATCAATTATGCAGGTAATGGAATTAAACACCTTTTGATCCAATTCAGAGAGTCAGTTCTAAAGTTATTCTGTCTCTTGCTAAACATCCATGAAGCAAATGCCAAAAAAATCCACAACCACCTCAAGGGAAGGGGCAAGTGTGTGGCAAATAGCAATGAATGGCAAGGCAGAGATAACTGCCACAGAGCTGAAGCTTTCATGACTGGGCAGAAAATAAAATGGGCTATCATTCAATAAGTGGCCATGACACTTTTCAGCATGGTAAAGGGGCACCCAGGAATCATTTCCACTACTAAGGCTCCTTTCTCCTTTGAAATAAAGAAAGTGGAGGAAAAAAATAGGGGGGGGGGGGAGGTTGAAACATGTGCTCATTCGATTCAGGACTTATTCACCCAAAGCGGGTCTAAAACCATAAATCCCCAGGATGTGCTTTTAGATTGTAAAGCTGCTCAATGTAGGATGATGTCAGTGCATCATGTGTACCACCTTGGTGGCAATGATGTTGTTTCTCATCCCCCCTGGTTCTTTTGCAATTCCCAGCTACTGCCCTATCGATACAAGTTAAATAAAGGTGAGCAGGCTTTGGCCAGGGCAGAATTAGGATTGGTGGATTCTAAGAAAAACCTGTGATGGTGCAGGAAATAGTAAAGGTGCCTCATTAGGTAGCTGTCTTCCCTCCAGTTCAGCATTAAATCAATGCACCAGAACAGGGCTATAATGCTGGAGGAAGGAGGCTAACTACTGTGCCGATTTATACCCTGTGCACACACACTGGCTTCAATGGAACTTAGCACAGAATTTAGGCCAGTGTCTTTAAGAGGAGATATTAAAAAACAAAACAAAACTAGGGCCTGACCACTTGCTGTCTGAGTACAGGACTGAAACAGGAACACCAGAGTTCTAACCCTGTTTGCAACTGAATCCCTCTTGGGCCTGAGAACAGCCTCTTACTATTTCTGCCTCAAATTCGCAATCTGTAAAATAAGAAGAGTACTACTGGCTTACCTACCACACAGGAGTTTAGTGAGGATTATTGTGTGGAAAGTGCTTTGAAAATGAAAAGTACTGTATCAGCACTTGACATTGTTGTTGAATTTTAAAATCTCCACATATTTTCTCCGAGTGCAAATTAGCCAGGATACAGATAACATTCTGCAACATTATAACATTCTGCCTACTAAAAATTCACCCTATAGTTTCAGTTAGATAAACATTATAGTGCAGGAAGTGTACTGACACTTTAGCAGTTGCTACAATGTTATACAAGTATCGCTTTCCATTGCAGAGTTGGTTGCATTTCGCCAGTGGGTGAAATGACTCTTAAATAAAATTGTTAAGTCAATTTGTAAAGTGCTTTGGCATCCTTCTGGAAGAAAGGCACTCTACAAACGTAAGTCATCATTATCACTTGATCAGTGAAAATACATCAGAAGTAACAAAACACGCAACTCTGAAAAAAAATGAACAAGAAATCCCATCCGTATAGCCAGCATTTGTAACTCACCATGCCCTTGCTCCTCGCTTTTGGAGAGTGCAGGTCAGCAATTATAGCAGTAGACAGGCTGACATTCCCTTTACTTATTCCACCTAGGACTCTGGAGAGAAGAAAAATACCAAAACTCCTAGAGATAGCCCAGAGTGCATACGATGCTATCAACCCCACCTGCAGAGAGAAGAGGAGATTTCTCTTACATAATACAGTAAAATCAGCATAATTTTAGGATTATTTTCTAGCTAGACTAATGTTTGAAAAGCAAAATCAATGTCTGCTCCATTAATCATGAAACAACAAATGCTTTCTTGAATAAACTGGCATTTCACCAGACATATACTACACTAAATGTCAGACAGTAAAAATCCACTAAGGAGAACCCATCTGTAATCATTTCACACAATCCCACTATTGTACATTATGTTAGGAGGAGGTTTGTCTGATGCAAAATCTATCCTTTTTATGCACTGAAAGGTGTTTAGAACACCTTTGTACAACTTGCTCCATTTTGCTTACAAGACAGCCACAAAATGGTTTCCAATATAATTAAAATGTTAAATAAAATCTGCAACTCAGAAAAATTCTAAGACAAAAAAAGAGAAAAAATCCACTGACCTGAAAGTCAATTTTAGCCTTCAGTTTTGGTGAATAATAATTGAACTCACACATGCTTAATGTATTAATCTGCAAAGACTTTATTGGATGATGGGTTGGGTATGTCATTTGTTGCCGAGATCCCTTATGCATGTTCATACTTGCACTGTATTATACCTATAATCAGAGCCCTAAATTTAAACTTGTAACAGCTACCAAAGAGAGAGACTGTTTGGTGAATGTTCATTAATACAATAAATAAATGATATGTTGCACTTCTGTCAAGTGCTTTCCAATCAAAGATCCCAAGGTACTTTACAAGGGGCTGGAGTACATAATATTATTATCCCTATTATACAGATGGAGAACTCAGGGACAAAAAGATTAAGTCCAACATTTTCAGACTGAGTGCCTAAAGTCAAGCACCTAAATCCACATGTAGGCACTTGTACAGGTGGTGTGATCTTGCATGTTAGAATGTCAATGGTATTGAGTTGCCTAAAAGATAGAAATAAGCCCTTCTGAAAATCCCACTAGGTGCCTATCTGCACCTTTAGGCACCTAAATACCTTTTAAAATCTGGCCCTAAGTACCTAACGTTAAACCCCCAAGTTTGACCAAGTGACTTGGCCAGGGGAGGCAGCAATGGTCAGGACTAGTGCTGTGCACTAAACACACTGGCCTCCCTCTGTACATTTGATTTATGCTGATTCTAGTCAGGCTGCCAGACATACCACTGTCAACAACATGATCGGCCTTCTCCCCAAGCAGTCAGATGCAGCGCCCGTGAGCGGAGAGGAAAAAAACTGCAGGATGGAAAAGATGGAGCCAATCAGACCTAGAAAAGATTGATCATTAGACTTAATCATTATACATGCTGCCTTAGTTTTAAACACAAAGGCAGCATAATTGTTTAAGGCCTATCACTTCACTATGGCCCTTAAAAAAACCCAACAACTCAAACACATATAAAGGATACACAATTATGATGTCAGACTGTAGCCATGAACAGCAGTTATCTCCCTGGAATGCAAACAGCCCCAAAATATTGTGGCTAAGTTGTTATTTAACTGAATTTAATTGGGTTTTCAAGGGAAAGGGAAATGCAGACAAACCAGAACAAGATGGGACTTATGGGGGAAGGAGGGGTGTGTCAGTAAAAAGCAAATATCAGAGAATTTGCAATCTCTGACTGCAAACTCTTACTATTCATGGAGAGAGGATAATATAGGATTTAAGAGCCAGTCAGTATAACACACAATTCTTTTAAGTAGTTTTTTGATTAACTGAACTTGGATCTGTCACATTTAATTAGCTTATATTTTATCCCCTTGGTATCAAAGGCAGCAGTGAGACACATTGGGGTATGTGACACCCTCACATAAATGGCAGTGAGTCTACATATCTGAAGAGGTTCCTTGAAACCTACATTCTGTCCCTGTGATCTTCAGTTCCTCTCCTCTCTTGCCATCTCTAACTCAGTGCCCTCATTAATTTGCAATACCTTTGTGACAAACTGCCAAGAAAATGCTTTGTTGTCACAGTTTTTTTCTTTAAAGGAGAGAGCTGGCTTATATGTCTTACTTAGACCACCTATCAAGGTTGAAAATGCACACAGAGACCATGGGTTAAATTTTGCACCACTGAATGGTAAAACTGTAAAACTCCCCTTGACTTTAAAGGAGTCAGGATTTCACCTCAAGTATTTGAGTATCTGGGGGAGAATAATTTCTTTGTGGTTGCTCAACAACAACAAAGTAAAAAATGAAACAAAAACAAAAAACAAAACAAAAGCCATACACCTACTTACAGCTTTAGCTCACAAGTGAAGGCAGCAAGGTTCTTTCTTATTTGGATGGACATTAATTATTATTATTATTATTATTATTAACAGCAACTGAGCTTCAAATCCATTATGCTAAGCACTGTACAAATGTATAACAAAAAGTTGGTTCCTATCCTGAAGAGATTTACAGTCCAAGTATGACACAAGAGACAACAGGTAGGTACAGGCAGGTGCAGGATGGAAGTACAAAGTAACAAAGAGATGATTACATTTGCAATGATAAGCAGCGGTCACCACAGATGGCTGCCAACATCAGATACTCATTTGCTGTGGCGGCTGGTGCCCAAAATGATTGGTGCACCTACAAGTATGCCCCTTCCTCACTACTTCTGTCTCATAGAGGGAAGGGAGGAAGAAGGTGGGGGAAACAGTTGCTCCCCATTCTCAGCCAGAATCCTGAAATTTTCACTCATGTCTCTTGGATGTATAAAGTGTGAAGCACTAGTGAAGGGTAGTGTAATGCAGATGGTACAGTTTAAACCACAACACCACAAGCTATGCCAAGAATGTGAACTTGGTTGTTTACACACCTGGCCCAACACACAGGCCTCTTACCTTCCCTTGCTCACTACTAACAAATCTGAATTAGCCTTTCGGAGGCCTTGATTCACTGCTTTGCTGCCTTCAGTGACTCATGGAGGAGCTGGAGAAGACTCAGTCACAACAGAAGTGCCCTGCTGGCAACAAATAGTACTGCCCTCTGCAGAACAGTTGCCACGCCCCTTCCATAGACACCGCAGTGGGGCTGCCGGTTGAGGTATAAATGGTGAGCCTCTATTCACTCGACACCCCCTGCCGATTTGCCTCCATTCCTGGGAAGCTCAGTGCTAAAGTAGTAAAGCACAGCAGGCCTGGCCTAGGAAGCATTACTGAGGAATAGGTTGAACTGTTTGCCTGACTAGTCACAGCTATCAGTTCCATGTAAGCAGTACCATTTACCAAATATTTATAATCTGCTTCTCTTGGGTACTTCTAGGGCATCTTTTACTGTGGTATTTAATCCCCAATTTAATAATGGTGCCATATGTTTACAAGTTGTTCATAAATAAAAACATTACCATAGAAGAGAACCTGAAAATGACACTAGATTGCAGGTTCATTCATACCTCCAAACAAGACAGTGTTGTACTTCCTCTCCAGAGGTACCCCAAACACTGCAGCAAACCAGTCCACACCATGCTGCAGTGATAGATAGAAACCATCCTACAAAAGAGAGTCATAAGTCATAGTTAATGGCACTTAGGGATAGGCTGACCAGATAGCAAGTGTCAAAAATTGGGACAGGAGGTGGGGGGAATAGGTGCCTATGTGAGAAAAAGACCCAAAAATTGGGACTGTCCCTATAAAATTGGGACATCTGGTCACCCTACTTAGGGAACAAATTCTCTCTTGCAGGCTCTGACTTTATTTGCAAAAATGTAGCGTTGCTTTGTATCCCAAAGATGCCACTTGAGACAACTTCCTTCCCCAAGTGTATGTATGGGGTATATGCCTGATGGATCAGTGTAGTCCCAGATATATTTACCGTCCCCTTGACCTTTCATCTCTCTCTCAAAATCTCTTCCATGGTGGCACAGACAGATTCTCACAGACTAGTGCTGGGTTCTGAAGCAGGAATGGGATGCAAAGCCCATGTGCTGGCTCCTAGCATCTAGCCCCTCCCTACACAGCAGAGCTAGGCTGGTTCCACTGCAGGTAGAGTCCTCAGCAACCATACAGCAGGGGTAGAAATTTGCCCCATTATGCCCTACAGAAACATATGACCGGAACACAGAGCAGAAGATGGTGAATAAATGCTACAGAGTTAGGCATTAACTTCTACACTTGCTAAGTCTGGATTTTATACATAATAGAGCCGCGATTTGAGTTACAAATTCATATCTCATCCCATCCAGGTCTTCTACATTCCTGTTAGAGTCCTGAGAGTCTCCCTGTTTGTCCTCCACATTGCACACCCACCCTAGAAACCATGTGTCTCCGTCACCAGCCTCCTACCCAAGAGGAAGGGGCTATGAAGAGCTTCACAGCTCCTCATTAAAGTTACTCAATTAACCAGGGGGATGCCGATGAACAACACAAGGCTCTGTGTCTCCTTCCCATCTCCTAGAACTCAGGGAGCAATGGACTGGGACTAGGAAGGAGACCCAAGGTTTACACTTTGCTATTCAAAGCACTAGGCCACCAGCCCAGCCCAAACTCCTCATCTTTTACTTGAATGAGGAACATGTTGGTGACAAAGTAGGAACTTTTTGTAATATTTCTATGAAGCTTATGTGTGCCTCAGTTTTCTCCCATAATTTGCATTGCTACCCAATAGAGGGAAAAGGGATTAAGTTTGTTCTCAGGGCAGATTAAGAGACATGGGTATGTGCGTCACCTTGCCGTCTGGGTAAACAGAATACAGTTGTTAAGAAACTGGTGGAAACTGACCCAGATCAACACGGGGTCCAGAGAGACAATGCAAGCTCTACTCCTGGGGGAATTCTGCACCACTGCACAAGCGCAGAATTCATGTGTCCCACAGAATTTTTTTTTCTCCACAGAAAATACATTCTGCTGAAGAGGCTCTGCAGTTACGCCTTTCGGCTACCAGGGGCTGTGGTGGTGCCAGAACAGAGGCAGCTGGCTCACTGCTTACCATCCAAAACAGTCAGCATCTGATAGGGAGAGAGCAGAGGCTGTGTCCCTTACAGCACCCTGCCCGTGGGGCCAGGTAAGAAGGCACGTGATGGGGGGGGAACAGACAGAGCGGGGCACACAAGGCTGCTGCGGGGTCAGATAGACTGGGGTTCAGAAGGGCTAGTGGGGTGGACAGACTGGAGTGGGGACTGAATGGGAGTGGGCGTGCAGGGCCACAAGGGGATGGGGGACGAGGAGTGCAGGGCCACATGGGGGCAGGGGTGGCTCAGTGGGGGTGCAGAGAAACATGGGGATGGGGGGTGGGGTGGCTGAGAGATGGTTCAGGGACACATGGGGACAGGGAATGGGGTGGCTGGGTAGGGGTGCAGGGACACATGGGAATGAGGCTGACTGAATAGAGGTGCAGGGATACATAGGGATGGGGGAGGGGTAGCTGAATGGGAGTGCAGGGCCACATGGGGATGGAGGGCAGGGGGAGCAGGGACAAATGGGGGCAGGAGGACGATGGGTGGCTGAGTGGGGGTTCAGGGAAACATGGGGAAAAGGGACAGGGGGGAGCTGAGTGAGAGTGCAATTATACATGGGGACAGGAGCAGATGTGTCTGACTGATTGGGAGAGGCCAGGAATCAGACAGAGTCTGCATGGGGAAGATTCCCCAACTCCCCAGGTGCCTTCCCAGAAATTATTTCCCTTTCCCTCAGCTCCTCCATTACCCCATACTCTCCCAAGCCTTTGCACTGCTTCCGAGGGATGCAGGAAATATGTTTCTATATTGTAGTTTAAATGAATTATTACTCTAAGTTTTATATGAACAAAATATGCCTAGTAAAGAATCTATTTGTCAAAAAACATTTCCTGAATATTTTTTGTTGTCTGTATTGTTACAGACATACTTGTTGACAGGTATTTTGAAATAGATTACCAAAATAATTGAAACTGGCATGACTGTGTTATTTTGACAAATAAAATACTCAGATTTTTGCAGAATTTTAAAATATTGTGGGCAGAATTTTTAATTTTTTGGTGCAGAATTCCCCACAGGAGTAAAGCACCAATGACTCATGAATTGACACTCTCAGCAGAGAAGCTGAACAGAGACCTCAGCTTGAGAACAATAGACAGAGACAGAGGATTAGTGTGGGCTTCTGCTTCTGGAGGAGGTGGGCTCTCTACTGGGACTGAGTAAGGAAATGAGAGAGCACAAGCTAGAAAATGGAGTTCATTACAGCTTGGCCTGGTGAATTGCTCTGGCTTGATCAGAATGAACTATGCTTTAACCTTTATTTCTCCATGATAACCTAAGGACTTCCAGTGCTATGTTCCAGTTGACTAATAACTCCTATCCTGTTCTGAAAATGCTGCTTAGGTGTCACTGCAAATACTTGCAAGGGTGCATTAGTCCCTGAAGAGTGTACAAGTCTATTTCAATTGCACTCACTGGGCAGAGCTCAGTATAAAGCAGGAGTGCTGTAGCCCAGAGGCTACAGTCTAGGAGGCAGTAAGACTGCAGGGCCCTCCCTGAAGGAAAAGTGGGACTCCTGGGGGTCTGCCATGCTGAAGGAGTTCTTCCAAGAGACTGTTTAAAATCTGAGATGTAGCACAGATTCTGTGCATCTGTGACATGTTTCTTCATGACTCTGTCAGTCAAGGTGCTGGTTTTTGACAGGTACAGACTGTCTAGCCATATATGGCTTTTGGGGTTCATGAATCCTGCCTTTGGAGTGAGGGTCAGGGGGAAGCAAAGCTTCAAGAGGGTCCCCAGTTTACACGAACAGTACCAAATTAGGCATGGAATCATGGGGTTCAGTACTACCTCAGTAGCATGCTGACTGGCATTTTTCTAGCTGTATCCAGATGCTCATTGCTCCATCAATGTGCTTTCTGCTAATCTGCTCTGAAGAAGACCCAGTAGTGGGGACTTCTCCCTCCTGCTGATCATAAGTGCGTAAGTGCTTGGGGACCAGGGCATATGTTCCATCTCCACCCAAACAGCGCAGGGTAAGAAGACGGCCACAGGAAAGGGAATTAGAGTGATGGAGATAGAATAAGAGGGCTTAAGGCAATGTAGTCCCCCCACCTCATTCTATCTCAAAAACAGATCACCAGAGAGCTAGCTCTGTGTATTGCTTTAAGAAGAGTCATCTACTTACCAATAAAACCTACTGCCAACAAAGAATTCAATATTTTCCATTACAACCTAGTTGCTGGCACTGGTAATTGAGTAGTCATGTAAATAGATTTGAACATCGGGGAAGAGAGAATAGCTGAGAGAGAAATGGCAAGTCAGCCAGACAGCTCGCAAGAGACGGATGAGGAACCCTTGATGGGCTTGTGTTGTAAAGGACACTTAAGACTGAGTTAAGGGCATGTCTTCACTACCTGCCGGATCGGCGGGTAGCAATCCATCTATTGGGGATCGACTTATCGCGTCTAGTGAAGACGCGATAAAATCGATCCCTGATCGCTCTGCCGTCGACTCTGGAAATCCACCGCGGCAAGAGGCGGAAGCGGAGTTGACGGCAGCGCGGCAGTGGTCGACTCGCCGCCGTCCTCACAGCCAGGTAAGTCGACCTAAAATACGCAACTTCAGCTACGCTATTCACATAGCTGAAGTTGCGTATCTTAGGTTGACCGACCCCCCCCCCCCCCCCGTAGTGTAGACCTAGCCTAAGAAGCCAAAGTAAAGCTCCTTCTATCTTACAGATCTTGAGACACAGTTCTGGCCCCCTCACTCACATAGCCAGGAGAGACAGAACAGAGACTGCAGACTCTGTTACCAAGAGACCACAGGGCTTCACGCCTCATGGAGATTCACTCAGCTGGCTGAGTAACACAGCAGCAGGAAGCCCAGTGTTAGAGGAAACCTCTCATCTGACTACTCATCGCTGGAGACCAGACAGCCACAGCCACAAGTGAGTAAAAGAACAGCAAGGTGGAGGGCAAATTCAGGACAATTACAAGAAGTAGCCACTCAGTAATCTCTAGATTTCCCCAAACATAGACACCTGACCCCAACTCAGTGTCAAAGGTGAGAAAGTCTTACTAGGCAGAGCAAACAAATCAATCAAAGTCATAAGAACAATCTAAATACACTCCAGACTTGCAGGTGGGTTTTAGTCTGCATGTAGCTTTTGAGCTGTATCAGGGGAACAGGCACCCCTCACATAGGGGGAGGGATAGCTCAGTGCTTTGAGCATTGGCCTACTAATCCCAGGGTTGTGAGTTCAATCCTTGAAGAAGCCACTTAGAGATCTGAGGCAAAAATCAGTACTTGATCCTGCTAGTGAAGGCAGGGGGCTGGACTCAATGACCTTTCAGGGTCCCTTCCAGCTCTATGAGATAGGTATATCTCCATATATTATCTCCCCTCCCTCTGCATCCCATTCTTCAAATTGCCTCATGCCCAGACTGTATTTTCAGCAGGTAGAGTTTAGTTCTTACTTACATCATTCTTGCTGTAATACTCAAGGATTGAAGGAAGGAGTGGCAAAATAAGAGTGAATCCCAGCAGGTCTATAAGGAGTGCCACGAAGACAATGGTGATCACCCGACCAGAGCCATCTTCAGCCTCTGACTTGCCTTTGGTGGGGCAGCTACTTTCCCCCGTTCTCATGGCCATGTTGTCAGGCGTCACACTTCTGAAACAGCATAACAGCACTCACTCTGAAGCATTTCAGGCACTGAGATTATTTTACCCAAAGGGGAAGAACTTGCTGACTCATTCTTACTCCATTTCCCCCAGTGCAACCGTATAGCAATTGCTAGATTAGAATCCTGGTTCACTAGGGAGGGGGCTGTTTTGCAAAACAGAACAGGCCCCCGGCCTCACAATTCCTGGACCTTAGTCACTCAGCTCATTTGTTCTGGTAAAAGTGGAGCATGATGGCAAGAACCACTGTTCAAAGGAAAACTTCAAGCACTCAGTACAATCAGTCCCAGCTAAATGAATCTGTGTCTTAACAGGATACAAGTGCTAACTATACTAACTATACCTCAAAAAGAACAGGAGTACTTGTGGCACCTTAGAGACTAACAAATTTATTAGAGCATAAGCTTTCATGGACTACAGCCCACTTCTTC